CGAAACAAAAACTGACTAAAACCATTGACCTAAAAGTTTCTGAATAACGAAATAGATTGATCACGTTGCTGTGGGAAACATTCACATGGGTCAAACATATCTGAATAATTTTCTGCAAATGAAACTTCAATTGAAAAATAAATTGATTTCGCGTTGTTGTAAATAGGCAAGTAAAGATTCTTTCCACCGGATCTTTTTCAATTCCTACGTAATGAAATACGAAATTCAATCAGTTATTCTGCAGACTGTTTCGATGTAAAATGAAATATTTTAGATGTCAAAGAGATCCCATACAAATAACAAAAGTACACAGATGATACTTAAAGTACTGTAAGTATTATATCATATGGTGAGTTCTTAATTTTGAATGCATTAACACAAATTTCACACATTTTTAAATCATTGTCGTAAAATTTACATGAAATTGCCTCTAGCCTCTCCATAAATATAATGCTGGACCGGAATAATCGTTAATGAGCGGACTTCTTTTCTGTAGTTCCGAGAGTGGTACCGATATATTCTGGTCGTTAATTTATTTATTCATTCACCTATTTATGTCACAGATAGTACTACTGCATTAGAAAAATATTGTTTAAAGCGTTACGCGAGAGCTTTGGCACTCATTCCCTCAGCATCTGAATGTGACTCATATGGCTAATAGATCGTAGCGATAAAACACTGAAGAATCTTCGCATTACAGATGGCGGAGACTACAGTTCTACTTTTTTTACATCTTGACACGATTTTTTGTGAAACGTTAGTAGAAACACCTACAAAGGTAGCGAGGGCAACAGGATACTTGATCAGTTAGCGGTATATATCGTCATATTTATATGAATGTTTTATGTTAGATGAAGATCGTCATCTGATTTTATCGTGTATCTGATTTTTTTAAGATCTTATAAATAATATATCTTATTAATATGATTGTTTTTTTATGAATAATTAGATTTCGATATACCCTTTTAACCAACTTGTATGATAAACAGATACTTTAGCTGCAAGCCTACTAAGCCTAAGCCTAGGGCTGAGTTTTAAGTTTTTAAAAAGAGTACTACATTACGTTTTTCTCTGCAAGGCCGTCTACTAATCTGTACATTCTTGCGGGTTTTCAAGAACTTATGAATGGTGAGACTCACAATCCGGTAACATGCTTTTTCGTGGACCACTTATCCTGTACAAAACAAATTTATTCCACCCGAATGCTGAACACGAGAACCGAAAACTAAAACAGTTTCTACACTGTATCCAGTGTATAAACTGCTCAGAAAGACAAATGGAATGTTGCATACGCATTTTGTGTAAGCTTTACATATTCATCTACAATACCACGCTCTTCGTTTAAAATATGAAAAATGATTGCTCACTACGACAGAGAGATTGCGACTGAGTAAGCGTATTCAAGTCTTATTACGGGGGAATAAGAGACTAAAGTACCACAAATCGTAATATAATAGTTTTTTGATTGTTCCATTGTATGAACTTTGCAAACTTACTTAACCTTATTTGGCATTTAGGTGATAATCATATTCCACAAAAAATCTGCAAGCTTCACTAAATCCGCATTGAGGAGCAATTTTATAGACTTTGTGGTCTAGTCTACGGACACATATTACCTTTCTTACTATTTTATTTTATTATTTCTCTGGTTTTTCTTACCTTTTGGTTAAATAAATGTTCTAGCTTGCTGCGCCCAATTTATAATAACTGAGTCTTTTGAAAATATTTTTATATTTTACGGTGGTAGGGCCACGCAGCAGCCTCGGCTGTTGCACGAATGGGCAGGCCCGTCCGGGTAAGTACCATGACCTCACAGAAGACCAACGTAAAGTGGAAGTATGACAAATACTTTCGCGTTTCGTCTGGTAAGTGAGGTAGCCGGAGCCCAATTTTCAAAAGGTTGTCAACGCATCTGTAAGACCCTCGGGTGTGGCAGATGTCCATGGGCGGCGGAATTCACTTAACATCAGGTGAACAGTCTGCTCGTTTGACAACTTTTCGCATAAAAAAAATATTAACCCTACATAATATTTATTTATTTATTTATTTAATCTTTATTGCCAACCTTCAGTAAAACAAGGTAACAAAGGGCGGACTTAATGCCCAAAGGCATTCTCTACCAGTCAACCCAGGATGTGGTGAGAGTTTATGGTAGGTGCAGCAAAAGATGCAAGAATAATAAAATTTTAATTAAAGAGAATATATATGAAAATAATATTATAATTGGATACAAATCATATATTAAGTTATATACATGCATATGTATACAAACATATATATATATATATATATATATATATATATATACATATTCAAATATTTAAATATATATAAAGATGTATACTTGTATAAATAAATAACAATTAGCTTCTACTTTTAACTACAGTCCATATCTTAGGTCGAATTTGTCTTTAACAGGTGTTCACGAACCAATATTTTGAAAGATGTCTTACTTTTTGCGTTTCTTACGTTATCGGGCAAGGAGTTCCAAAGATGTATAGCTTGGATAGTAAAGGAGTTGACAGAGAACCCGGTAAAGTGCGCTGGAATGCATAATTTATTCATGTAAGACGACCGAAGTACCCTATCATGAGATGAGGAGAGATATAAGAATTTGTTTTTGAGGTAAGAAGGGGAGGAACAATCATTTAAAATGGAGAAAAGCACAAGCAAAATTCTGGACTGCCGCCTTTGCCGAATAGTAAGCCAATTAAGTTGAGATCGATAGGAGGATATGTGGTCATACTTGCGTAAGCCGAAAATGAACCTGATACAGTTATTAAGGAGGCGATCCAACTTGTTTAGTAGATGTTGGGATACGTCCGGGTAACAAACATCTGCATAATCGATAATGGGTAAAATGAGCGTTTGGACAAGCAAAAGTTTAGTTTTGAAAGGGAGGAAATGTTTTAAGCGATAGAGAGATCGTAAGGTGGCAGTAACTTTGCGGCTTATTTCAGTAACGTATACACTCCAATTCAAAGTATTGTCATTAAGCAGACCTAGATTTTTTACCACGTTTGAAAAAGGAATTATTATATTATTGTATTTTATAGGAGGTACAGACGAGTAATCAATTTTTGACAGCATTCTTGAACTACCAACAACTTTGGTTGGCATTTCGAGGGATTGACCGAAACTCCATGAGAACTTGACCAACTCCAAACTTTGTCTAGGTTTTCGTTTAATTTTACTATCGCAACATGAAGGTCGTCTATATCGGCTTGCACATAAAGCTGAAGATCGTCAGCATACAAATGATACGAACAGTTCAAAAAAGCAGTAAGAAAGTTAATAAAAATAGAGAAGATTATGGGAGACAGTATGCCGCCTTGTGGCACGCCAGATTCAACATCAGCCCAAGCTGAGCTTTTTTGCCCCAAGGTAACTGGCTGCTGACGCCCACGAAGATAAGATGAAAACCATTCTACAACAGAGTCTGCAAAATTAATATGGGAGAGCATGGAAAGGAGTATATCATGGTCGACTGTGTTAAAAGCGTTTGAAAAGTCCACAAGCACTAACACAGTTACCTTTTTATTTTCCATGCCTTGTCTAATGTCGTCGGTAACTTTGATTAAGGCTGTGGTAGTGCTGTGGCCAGAACGAAAACCAGACTGATAGATACTCAGTAGGTTATGTTTATTTAAAAATAAGAAGATTTGCTTGTGAACACAGGCTTCCAGAATTTTTGACAGAAAGGGCAGAATTGATATTGGACGGAAATGGTTCGGTTGCGTAGGATTAGGAACTTTAGGAAGAGGTCGGACATAGGCTTTCTTCCAGCAAGTAGGATATTGACCGGAATCAAGGGAATAGTTAATAATATGGGTGATTGCTGGAAGAAGATGCTCTAATAGTGAGATTATCATAAACCTGCTGATATCATCACAGCCCATAGCCTTGGACTTAATAGCTAACGCAAACTTCTTAATGTCGTTTTGATCAACAGGACTGAAATTGAATTGGGGAATTAAATAGGTTTGTAAAGACGCAATGTTTGAAATAGCTTGAGAACGGATTCCGGGGTCCATGGCAGACGTAGAAGAAAAATGTCGGTTCATATCATCTAGAGAAAGAGAAAAGACACGTTCCGACATTGCTGGTTTACCAATACCGACAGATTTAAGGAATTTCCAAACATTAGCAGATGATGAATTAACAATATTATTATGAAAATATCGGCGTTTAGCTGTCCGTACCATTTGGTTGCACCTGTTCCTAGCTATCTTAAATATAGACCAATATTAAGGATACATTACATACAAAAATACATTTAGTGCATAAAATAAAAGCATTTTTTTTTGTTATGTTGTAAGTTCACTGCCATCAATTTGTGAACGATACTTTCAGATTTAGTGCCCGATATAACAACCTTATTTATTATAGAAATGTGTACTATATCTATAATTAATTAGTTTCTGACTGATGAAATAAAGAAACATTTAACTTTTAATTGAGAACATGTTTAATGCTACCACGAATCAAAAAATCAATCGAAAAAGAAAATCAATAATCCGAAACCTTTTAGAGCTTAGGCAAGGGATGGATATGGGAAAGTAAATGTCATTTGTTTTGATTGACAAGGGTACGTGGCAATTCTGATAGTAAACTTATATTCCCTTTGTAGGTAACCTGAACACTGTTACAAGCCTATATGAAAACAACAAGTCTATAAGAAAAAATAAAAACCAGGAAAAATATTAAAGCGGCCTCAAACTTCTAATGTGAACAGAATTTAAACAATTACGGTTTCTGAAACACATCATAGAAATTAACTAATCAGTTGTCAAATAGTTTCACAAATCTCATTTGAGTTGTCAAAAGGATGTTTAAATGTAAACGTTGATCAAAACGATCATAATCATCAATTCAAATTTCAATTCAAATATTTTTCTCACAACACGCTTCCAAACCTGTTAAAATCACCTTTTTTAGGATTTATCGCAAGATGTAGCGTAGATGATTTTTTTGCCTGTGTAATAACATATGTTTTCGAAATGCAAACTCGGAAACCAAGAAAAAAAGTTATGCTTGCAGACACAAAAAACTTAAGATATAGTAAGTTCCTCAGACAAACGTTCATTCTTTTTTTCTAAAACGATGTGCCCAGTAATCGACACGTAGCCACATAAAAATAGCCAAAAGAAAGATAAGCACATTAAATATTTCTCCTAGACGCATTTTCACCGTCTCTAAAATTGTTTCTGCTTCTTTATTTCCCCCGAGAGCTCTTGAACACGGCTAAAAATACGTTTTGCGACAAATGCCATATTTTATACAGACGTAAACATACAAAGCCATTCCGTACTGTGACCAGCATAGTGAATGCACTAGACAAAGCCCTTTATTAAAATGAGCACGAAGATTTTGAAATTATTAGTTAAAATATTCAAACATTAAGTATTCGTTACATTTTAATTTACAATAGAAAAACCTTATGTTCTCTTGTTTATAACCTTTCCAAAGATATTATTTAAAAGATATTATATTTTGAATATATTTTTTAGGTCTCAAAACCTTAAAATCAGAAACGTACAGTCCATCCGAAGTTCAGCTAATACTGACAACTGTGTATTACTGCAATCATTTCAAAAATAATTCTTTTAGAACTATGTGCATGAAATTTAATAAAAGCGACACCATAAATCTTCTAGCATTTAATAACAAGAACGACTCTTTCGTTCAACGACAGCAGCTGTTAACTGCAATAAAGAGATACCATTGACATAGACATTTCAACAGTTAGTACATATTACACAAAGGCTGCTCGGCGTCCTACATGTCAACAGACAACACCGAAAAACACGACAATTATATTTTGCATTGTCGTTCACGAGTGTCCCCTATTGTGCGGAAAGTGACAATTTTGCTTGTTAAGTTCGTACAAGTTAACATTTTTAATTAAGGAGACATGTTAGTTTTACTTTCAATTTTGTAACGTGTATGTATCGATTGTTTGAGAAATATAATTATTATTTTTAACTAAAAGTTATTCAACTATATGATGTTTATTTATTTATTAATGTATAGTTCTAAAATATTAATTGATAACTAACCTGCATAATAGATATATTTAAATTTTTCTTAATCCTTAAAATCTTGTATTTATATATTTCTAATTCGTTTATTTTGTACTGCACGCAAGGTTATGTCATTTAGCAACAGTAATATTTTTTATGGTATGTACTCTGTATCACTATATTATTCTCCCTTTCCTTCAATACAGAACGACAGAATAACAAATTATAAATCAAGTATATTTCATTAAGAAACAATTCACTTTTTCATATACAGGAACCACGTACCATTTCTCCATATCATTTTCGAAGTTTGATTTTTAAAATGTTCTGTGGTGATTTTTAGCTCCTAAAGAGAGAACAGAAGCGAAACCTCTTCAAAAGCTATTTCCATGCATGATATTGAATCCGGAATTTAATCCAGTCACCGGCGGAATGGCGTTGAGCCGTACGAGGGATATTAATTTAAAAACTCATCTTTCAAAGTCACGTGCCTTGTAAGCCGTCTATCTTACATCCTCTCCAGTAGCTTCATGCAATATAATTACGACACAATATTTCCACGGGATTCACGTAGCCTGGAGTATCTGGTTACAGAAAATGCCCTCTTCACACAGTAAAAATCCTGTCTAAGGTTTTAACTTATTTTGAGTAGTTGACGGTTAATAATATAATATAGCAAACAAATACTCATTTGTGAATTTTATGATATTTTCATCCACATCCTCTAGAACATCGCAGCAGAACGTGATTCTCTTAAGGGAGGAAATGACTTTTTTCTTTGTTACTAGAAATAGTGCCCGAGCAGCAAGTGGCTGCCCGTAAAGAGGAATATTCGTATATTTGTGAAGTCCTTGTTTTCCTCATTCTGCCTTTATCCCACATAAATAGCAGCACAACATATGAATGACTAGCTGTGCCCGCGGCTTCGCTCGCGTTAATGCCCTTAAATAAATATCTTTTTTTTTTATGAAAATAATCCTGTCTTTTTTAATACCTCCAAAAATATGTGTAGTGTGTACAAAGTTTCATGCTAATCGGTTGAGTAGTTTTGGCGTGAAAGTGTAACAAACAATCTTGAATTTACATTTATAATATTACTAGCTGCTGACGGCAGAAAGACATAAAATATGTATATAAATTATAGCCTCAGAATAACCATTATTTATATAGAATTTCGTAAGCTACAAAACGGATTCAATTCAAATCGATTTGTGAGAGTTACAGCCAGCTGTTTAAAACTGAACGAAATTGCCAATGCGAATAAATTTCCCGAACCTAACCCAGTGGCGAACGCCTGCCCAGTCAGAAGTGGATGGAGTGAGGCGCTCCACCGCCGATGCCAGTTCATTGAACCCGACCCGGGCGCATTCATTCGCCGACGTGGCGTGCTGTAAAATAAAAAACGCTGGCAGACCACTGGCCGTAAAAAATGGGCCCGAAAATATTTTTTTTTTTTAAATGCGCTCCGAGTGCTACGCGTAGGGGCTTTTTTCCGTTATTTTTCCGAAGTCGATTAGACCTATAACCATGCATTCTCATTTTTATATTTAAAAATATAATTATTCAGATATTATTTTCCTGCGATGTTCCTGTCATTGTATCACAATGATGCACTTTCCATGAATTATACTAATTATATAAATATAGCATTATATTTTTTCTTAATGGCTACCGTACTTTAAAATATATAAGTAGGTAAAAATATATTGTATTACGTTATATTTATATTTACGGTGGTAGGGCCACGCAGCAGCCTTGGCTGTTGCACGAATGGGCAGGCCCATCCGGGTAAGTACCACGACCTCACAGAAGACCAGCGTAAAGTGGAAGTATGACAAATACTTTCGCGTTTCGTCTGGTGAGTGAGGTCCGGAGCCCAATTTTTAAAAGGTTGTCAACGCATCTCGCTATTCACTTTACATCAGGTGTACCGTCTGCTCGTCAGACAACTTTTCGCATTAAAAAAAAAAATATGTATATATTGACGCGTAGTCCCTATAATTATGTTTTCTAAATACAATATACGTCCGTTCATTTTGGATCTCTACAGATCTCTATCTCCGACATCAGACGAAACTCTATAGTTTAATACTTCAACTTACGCCGGTATTCTGAGGCCGTGGTACTTCCACGAGCTTGCCCTTTCTTGCCCTACCACATTAAAAGTACTGAACGGTTTATTATTTAACATGTCGAAAAAATGTATAAACCTCGGCGTTTGGCGACAAAATTGTGGTCGATGTCGAAACTATATAAAAGGCAAGGTTGTCTAATGATTTTTTTCTTATCTTGAATGGGTAATAAATTAATAAATGCGATTTTTAAATTACTGTTCCTCTGCATTTTCATCCTGACTTTATTTCGAAACTATTTTATTGTGCCTTAAATTTATAAAAACGTTGATAGATAATTAATATTTAGAAGCTGACTTCTTGGGAAGATAGAGCAGTGGTTTCCCGTTGCCTTCCGTACCAGACATTAAGTTTATTTAACACCCAAGACCACTGAAGCCTCTCTCAACCAATCGAGGAAGTGTTTATTGCGCCACTGCAAAACTACACTAAACTAACACTGAAAATGCAAAAACGTGCCAACTTTCTTACATATAGTTGCAAATGAGTTTCTAAACGTGTTCACAAATATACCCTTTGAAACTACTATCATTTGCATCACTGTCCTACAGAGGTAGCAACATATCTGGATAAATATGTTAATATTTCCATTCCAGATTTTAAGTTTTGCCACATAGGTCCGAATGATATTATTAAGACTTTTAAAAATTTAAATAAAAAGAAAACTGAAGATCTATGGGGCTTATCAATATGGGCACTATATCTTATAATCTGTGATATTGATTGTATATTAGCCCAAATATTTAATTTATGTTTAGATTCTTGCAAATTTCCAAAATTAATGAAATGTAGCAAAATTGTGCCAGTTTATAAATCAAGCTCAAGAGAAAATGCCTCTAATTACTGTCCCATTTCTATCTTACCAGCCTTAAGTAAAATATTTGAGAAAATAATGCTGGATCAGATGCTATTTCATTTTAATAAATATGAAATTTGGAACCAACATCAGTTCGGATTTACGAAAGGTTAAGAATTAATTTCGCATATCCTGCAGTGTCGTGTCGGGCTGGTTTGCGACCAATAATTTACTTTTGAACGCCACTAAGACTAAATGTATCAGATTTACTTTATCATAGCCGTCTCACAAACCAGGAATCTTTATTGATGACATCCTACCTCTTGAGGATTCAACAGCATTCCTTGGAATATGCATTGACTCCAGGTTGCAATGGGGAGCGCATATAGATAAATTAGCTAAAAAGCTCAGCGCTGCCGTCTTTGCCATACGCAAGATGAGACAACTAACAAACGAGGCAATAGCTAAATTAGATTTTATTCTTACTTGCTGATATTTGTATTGCAAAAGCAAGCGATCCACGTTGGAAATACCGAGGTATAAAGAAATTTTGACTTTGACTTATAAGATATTTATTTTAATTAATTATATTACAATTTAAACCTCGAAATGTGAGATTTTAGGTCCCACGATCCATTCCTCGGTGCTCGCAATTGTTCCGCGATTCTTGTTTAAAGCAGTCGTGTGAGGTATGGAAACCACGGAGTTGATGGGATTAAACATCGAACAGAAAATAAATACATCACATTAATTTTTATTTTTGAACATAAAAATGTTAATAAAACTGGACAAACTAAAAGCCGATAATCGATATAGTTGCCGCGTAGCTATATAGTCTCACCCATCGCTAGTCGTAAATAACGTCTCAACACTAACACCTAATAGTATGAAAAAAAAAATTAAACAAAAAAAATTTTGACTCATATAATCAAAATTTGAAATTATTGTGCTTAATAAGCTTGGTATTAGAAATGTATTTAACAATAAACAACTATAAACTTTTATTAACTAATTCCTGAGTTACCAATTTACTAGAGCTATCTATTTCTAATTATTATTTTCTTATTTATTGCCTGATTAAATATAAATGTTAATTTACAAATAATTTAAGAAACTCATTCTTATATAAAAGTAAATAAAGAGTAATGGACCTAAGAAGTTCATAGCGACAATAAAAAATTTATTTGTAACAAGAATAAAAATATCAGATGGTATACTAAAATTATAGCATATTTATATATTATATTTCACTGTAGCCACGCAACAGTTTTCGCTATGGTACGAATGGGCAGGCTCGCCTGAGGAATTAACACGGCGGCAGAGAGCACCAATGTAAAGTAGAAGTATAATACTTTTGCGATTTGTCTGGAAAGGTAACTGGGGCCCATTGTTTTTATGGGTTTGCAAAGAGTCTAAAACCCTCCAGTATTATAGATATGTAGTGCTCGCTTGCAAACTTTTCACAAATCCGCGTTCCGGGGCGGTTTTCACCGCTCCCAGCCACAGATTAGCTAATTGCACAGTCGACGGCCATGAGGGTTTCGGTCCGAACCGCGACCTCGATGGCCCTTAGATGACACACCATAGCGGAGGGCCCAAACCCGTGGGTTCTGGCTAGCCCACCGGTTCTGCGTCAGATGAAGCTTTAATAGTCTCAGGACTGAAAGCAAAAACATCAGTTAATACAAGATACAAGACAAGAACTTTTCACAAAACAAAATATATACTGTTCAAAACAAAGAATGAAAACGTCACCATCTAGAAAAATGTTAATAATAATAATGTTTACATATTGCATGTTTTTAATAGTGCTTAAGTGTTAGTGAAAGGGAAAGATCACTTAAATAAGACTCATACATAATTTTATATCTATTGTAATTAACAGTGCAGAATCTGGATGTAATAATAAACTTAACTATACAATATGTACATATTTTACAAAACTCAACCATGTAAAGCCTTCAAATAACATAAATATTGTCCATTTTAATTTACAGTGGGCTTCACATAGGAATTCGCTACTTGTCAATCATTGTGCAATTTCATAGGGTCTGTGAACTGTGCAGTTAAAATATAAAACAGTGCCGGCGCAGGCACTAAAGACAAATACCATAGTTCTTTAAAACCAGTAAGTGATAATATTCCATAAGCATGTACTAGCCAATGTCCTAGCAAAATAACCAGATTCCTTGTATTGGAAACGGATGACATAAGTAATGCTGGTGCCGACTGATCAATTTTAATTGAAAAGTGAGATGCCGATGTCATCATTGAGATGATGATAACTATATAGGGGAAGGAACAATCTGTAATAAAATAAATTATGGTCAAATTATGGGTTTAACACACAAATTAAAAAAAATCATACCAATAATCTCCCCATTATTTGTTTTATCATTTATTTTGTTTTTCATTTAGTTACTATCAAATGCATTTATTTTATAATACATATTATTGCAACCTCAAAAAAACAGTGTTGTATACACTGTTTTTTTTGAGGTCCACATTGAGAGTGTTTCACACCCCATCTTTGCACAAGACATATCAATAGTATTAGTATTCATTCATGGATAGATTCTTTTTCATCATGGATAGGTTTTAATAACCTATCAAGACATATAACATTAAAACAACAAAACAAAGTATACAAACACAATCCAGAACAAACATATGAAGTCTTTGAACTATAAAAATTGTATGACAAGTGCCAACCTAACCATCCATGGCTTTGACAATGAAAATTTATTTACATCATTTGCATTTTTATACTGTGGCAGGACTGTGCAGCACCTGCTACAGTAAAGTACCTAGACCTGACAGGAGATTGCTGTAAAGGTGAGTTACATATACTTTTTGCAATTCATTGGATGTAGAATAACTAAGGCTCACCCGCTATAAGATTGTCAAATGCACATGTATTACGAATATCCTCTGTTATTACTTTAAATGGGGGGAAACTTGCTTGTTGGTCAACTATTTTCAAACAGACAAAATCATTCCATATAAACATAGAGCTTAAACTTACATATTAGACCTGCTGCAATAGTGTGTATTAGAACTAGTATTGGGTAGAAATACAATGCACAGTAGATAGCTTTCTTGCCAGGATTTGGAGTGTGCCAAGTTAGAATCCATGGCCTCAGTAAAATGGTCAAGAGTAAACTGAATGCATATATAAGTAATACAATTGTGTACCTGAAAAAGATTTTTTAAATTTTTAAATAATTTGTCATAAACAAATTATCATTTACTATTATTTTATAAAGCAATTTTTTTTTCAGCATTATAATAAGATTATGAAAATATAAATGCTAGACTTTATTTCCCAATCTTGGAATAGTCTGACTTTGTATTACAGGCTCACATATGGTAAGTATATAGAAAAGAACTTACTCTTTTTAAGGTTGACAATACACTTAAAACATGAGGGTATTGTAAATGTCTATAAGTGGTATTACTAACCATGAGAAGGGCCACATTAATGTTGCAAATTTACTTACAATGGGTAAACAGCTTCCTGGGTACAGTGCAATGTTTCCTTATAATCTGGTTGTGGATTATGTAGGAGAGTATACCAGTCGGACAGGGCCTTAGGTGTACAAACATACAGAGCTATAGAACCAGTTGGAGGCAGAATAAGCAATGCCGCAAAGGTGCCTGTGACAACCTCAGTGAATGCACAAACATGCTGCGCTATAATGCCAGTTTTGCTGCAAAACAACAAACAAAGAGACTAAAATCACCATATATGTAAATATATTTACATAAATATTTATAGATAGAAAATTTACTTATATCATATGATATAACAATAGTGTATTAAATTATGCTTCCAACAAACCAATGACTATTAACATTAACTTTAAATTTATCTATATAAAATTTATAAAATTTATAAATCTCTAAAACTCTCTCTCTCTAATTTTACAATCTCCACAATCAAATTCAATTTAAATAAATAATTTTGAAGCATTATTATATTTAGCATGTTGGCAGTGTTTCCAAACTATGTACTTGGGGATTGACATTCAATAAAATTAGAGTACCTGGATGAAAAAAAGGACATTCATTTTTTTCTATGAATTGAAAACACTAGTTTCCATAGATTTTGTGTGAGTGAGTGTCAGATGTTTCTCAATCAATTAAAATATTTGTAAGGATAAACAATGTGACACACAAATAATCATGACATTTGTTTCTATACATGTAAATAAAATTACCTTTTATTAACTGCTACCATATCAATAAAGAACCAATGCAGTACCAAAGGTAAAAGCACCATGAAGCCTAAATACTGCCAATCATAAAGGTATGGTTCATCAGTACATGGAGTGCAGTAACTAGAAGCATTAGTTCGGTACCCGCGAGGACAGGCACCACATTCACTCCATGAACCATCCTCTAGTTCAGTTCGACCGCAGTAGAGACCTGGACAAGTTCTCACAGCAGACATTTCTCTAATTTGCTACTTTTAATTAGTATTAAATGATATATTAATTGTACATTAAATGATCAGCAAAATTTCAATTTCTGTAACAACTTGAAATAAAAAAGTGTATAAACATTTTACATGAAGTAAATTTTTTCAAAATAAACAGTACACGACAAATTTTGACGTTTTGTTGATGAGTTTAGTTCAGTGACATTTCATAGTTTTTTATTTTATAGTAATGGCAAAGATTTAGTCCTTAACACCACAACTTGTGTAGAAAATGTTACAGTAATAAGTTCACCATTAATTTCCTATATATAAATTCTTATATATTCTTACCAAATCTTTATTCGGCCAGTGTATATCCAAGAAAAATAATTTTCATGTATACACTCTGTTCTCAACTCAAACAGAGCAATTTGCGTAAAGATATGCCTTTTTGTTTTGGCATATGTTTATGCATATTGCGGCCTTGAAGAACTGGTGGAATTCATTGGCTCAATGATCCTCAGCCCACATACTTCGATTCCCCGCACTTTATTTTACTTTTCACAGGTTGTTACTCCAAACGTTAGGCGGCCGTCTTACATTACTATAGTCAATATGAGGCTGATCCCATCTTTCGAATCTGTTATTGGTTCTACGAGCTATTAGGTAGGGGCAGGCCTATGTTCAGCAGGAGGCTCAAACAGGTTGAAATGATGATAATTCGAACGATTGCTGATTGTTCGTATTTCGGTACTGCGAGTCTGGTGATGTTCTGATTAATGGTTGACGAATACATCTATTTCTTATTTTCTATTAACTATTCTATCACTTCTTCCCATACTTTATTTATGACTTGCAAAGTTTTTTCATATATACATTAACACAACTTAGAGCAGTCATTATGGCACGTTAGTGTATTTTCTAATAATTAATATTTTAATATAGAAACACCACATAAATAAGTTACATCTCTTTATTTCCAAACATTCCATTTATGATAAATTATTACAGCGCCTTAAACTTTCCTCCTCCCAATATATTTTGACGAAATTTGTTTCGCAGTTGTTTTATTATGTAGCGTATGATGATAAAAATTATCCAAATGATAAAAAATATGATAATTAACAAAACACTTATTACATTTATCATAGAATATTCAAAAAATGAACTGCCCACAGACGGCGACCGAAGGAAACGAGCACCTCCATTTCGAATAACGTATTCAGTCCACCATAGAGCTCTCTCGGGTCCGGATAATAAAGGATCATATGATGCGCTTCTCAACCTAGACATTGCTTCTTTGTACCTAAAATTTTAAATAATTCATTATTACGTAACGATTAATGCGAATCTCTACTCACAATTTCGAAAGGCATTTAAACAATAACAATTGGATAATGTTAAATTTTTGTTGCTGATCTTAATAGAGTCTATTAAAAATGGCATTAGCAACGCCATTATCGCCTCTGAATGAAGATTATAAATTTAAGACCTTGTTTTATTTCGTTAGTGATAGATACGACAAATATCATAAATAATATACATTCAGACAAACGTAATAAATAAAGTGTCATACTTGTCGTTTGTAACAACAGCGGTAACTGTTGCTTTAAGACTTTCCTTATCCAAATAATATGGATCCAAAATTTCTCCAGTGCCATGTCGGGTGACTTCATTTATAAATACTTTTTTAGACTTTAATATCGGTAAACCTATGACAGGCACTTCATAAAACAATGCTTCTTCCAAAGAACGTAGTCCACCATGTGTAATGAAAGCTTTGACATTAGGATGAGCTGAAATAATATCCGTAAATTAATTTCATTATATGGTATTTTTTATGTAGAATTAATGTAATATCATTAATATTATGTATAATTTATCGTGTAACCATATAGGTGAAATAAAGTTAAACATACGGAATATTGCAGCCTACGTTTAGAAAGCTATTTCTGTTAATTCTGTGAGTTCGTGGCAAAATAATAAATCCGCCTCATGATAACCTGTAAGTGCGGATCGGACTTGTGCATAGCAGTTTCCCTACTATTACAAAATACACTACGAAAGCGTCGAATATTCTAGGTCAACCGGAAGTACCTATATAATTTTTTATTTCCTTGCAAGTATCCTAATATGTAGTATAAAAATCCGCATCTTTTGATTGCGTTGACTACGAAGCTTAACAGACTTGAATATTTGGTATAAATTTCAACTTGATACTTCCACGTGTTCCTTATAAAAGGAACTTGACAGACGTACAATGAAGCGATACAATAAGAAAACCTAAAATAAAAAGTATAACTCTTACCTAGTACTTCCTGTTGGGGGAACCACGATTGTGCGATAACATTATCAGGTTTATTAATCATGGTCGTGTTACCCATTTTCCACAGAACTAAATAAGGAAGTTCTTTGAACGCTTCAACTAGAACATCTAGAAGTTTGGGTGCGAGTTGTTCTGAGTCCTGTATTGTGCCCAAACTAAAGTAAACAACGCCATTGGTAGCCGAATCCAGCAGCGATTTGAGGTCCTGAAAAATTAAAAGTTATATTAATAATGTATGGTACTACTATTCAAATGTTCTTATCGCAAAAGTAAAGAAATGAATAAGTTATAATATTTGAGAAAATAGAGAGATCACTTTCTAGTTTTAACGCATACGGAGTAAGGTGAATTAAAATTAGTGTACAGTATTTCATTATTTAAGCGTACGTGTTTTATTTTACTTTATTACTTTATTACTTTAACTTCTAAAATAAAGAGTGCCTAATACCAGAAAGAGAATCCCTGACAAGCTTAAATCATGTGGGTATCTTATCCTTTAAACGAGCAATTCTTGGAAACGGCTCCAGCGATTTTCATGAAATTTAGTATGTGCGTAGATTCGGGGGCAAAAAACTGATCAAGCTAGGTTTCATTTTTAGAAAATGTCCTTTTATCCCTGTTTTCAGGGAATGAAAAGTATCATTCGAATATGACGGTTAATTTCGCCGCAAAAAAAATTTTTATAATAGCTCGGTCGGTAATCGGGCGGCCCCAAAACAGACGGCCGCGGTTTGTATCACGATCATTTACACACTTATTTTTATTTCTTTTTTTCTATACCATATCATTGCTTTCTTTATTTATTTTTTTTTCCAAAATACATGATTTACCAAAAAAAAGTCGGTCCTCCAGGTACTATTTAACAATAATTACATATAATACAGTAGATCTAGTTAAGGGATAATTTTAAATATAAAATTGTTTTATAAAAAACTATCTTACCATTGGCAAAGGGAGCCCAGGTTTCAAGTGCAGGCGGTCTGTGTAAACAGTAGCAGGAGCTGACGGTCTATTTCCTATTAAAGCGGGATTGCTAGCTACGAACAACAAATCAATGTCGTATTCAACTTCCAACAGGCTCCTCTTTAGTCCGAGTATTTTCTGGGCAGCCACTTCACATAACGGTAAGAAATAGTTGTAATATTCATATTTTGTTTGATATTGGCGATACAGTTCGGAGAGTTTTTGCCAGCTGGTTAGGTTCCTATAACTTTTGGCGTTCACATCTGGATATAGAATGGGATTGACCGGATTGCCTTTGGCTTCGTACTGATGAATTTTACCGCTCGATGTGGTGATTGATATATGCGGCGCTTTATACTTTTCTGCTACCGCGTACAATATCGGCATATCGGCCTCTGTTATAACCAAATCAAATTTCACGTTGGGGTTAATGAACAGAGCGGTCATCTGTTTGGACATGAGCTGTTTGATACACAATTTTATTGCGTGTTCATTTAAGGCTTTCAAGTGAGGATGATGGTCGTCGACGTTCGTCATCAACGCTTTATATTCGTCCCACATAGGCGCTGATTCCGGGCCAACGTTTATTTCGATTATCCGCTCCGCCTCGGGCGGCTGAAAGTGGCCTGCATATGGAGTCATCACTACAATGGAATGCCCTCTCTGGGCAAGAAGCGATATATACCCTCTAAACACAAAGTGGTCCGTGAACGATAGGGACGAAAACAACGCCAATATGCTCGCACATCTTACAGTTTGTAGAAAATTAAGAAAGAACAGAGCACACACTAATTTCAACGACATGTTGAGAGAGAGAGAAGTTGCAGGACACCACGTGGCTCCACTACTCTACACGGTAATGACAAAACGTTTTACATGTGGAAACAGGGTCTTGTAACACCTGTACAAATAACCAGACTTTGCGTAACATAGGAACAAAAGAACATTACACCTACATGCTAAAGTTATAACATTACGGTTTATACAATTAATACCTTCAACCCATATAAATTACAGACAGCTTTCAACCCGACACAATTCGAAAATATTCAGGTTTTCTCACGCCATTATCCTTCACCACTGAGTACGTGGTAAAACAGCACTTAAAATTAACAATTTCATAAAGATAAACCTGATGGCAACTGGTTGGTAAGATGCATTAAAAGAATGAAACACATTAACAACTGTAACAGTACCAACCATATCAGAATGCAGTCTTCTCAAGAATATCAAGACCATCTTAACGCTACTTGTATCTGTAATACTATTGGTCACTAAATGAAAAGTTCCAGTCCTTGAAAGTCTTTAAAGATTTTTAATTTTGCAATAATATATAAAAAATATTCCAGTAACACTTTTCAACAACATGTAACGGATTCGCATCTTCTGAATCTACCAGCGTAACCCTTAGCAACTTATAAACCACAACATAAACAAATAAAATTGTCACTTTGCAGTCAACATTTTTAAAGTCGTCTGGCAGAAAATTATTCACAACCAATAATTGACATTATTATTTCATTAGGGTCATGGATAGGGATGTAGCAAGTTATTCAGTTGAAGGTCGCATAGGAGAGGGTGCTCATGGGCTGGTCTTTAAAGCAAGGCACTTGCCTACCGGGCGAGAGGTAGCTTTAAAGAAAATTTTAATAAAAAACCTCGAAGATGGCATACCAATTAACGTTATGAGGGAAATAAAAGCTTTGCAGTTGCTAAGATGTAAATATGTAAGTAATATAACATTTGCCTACTCTTAATAACATTCTTTCAGCCCTTGGCCGAATAAAGAAATAAAATATTATTAACTTTCCAGATTATTAAATTGTACGATATGTTCCCTCGGGGCATGAGTTTGGTATTAGTTTTGGAATATATGTGTTCGGGCTTATGGGAAATGTTACATCACAACCAACAAGAGCTGTCAATCCCACGAGTCAAGACCTACGCTCAAATGCTTCTTAAAGGGACACGATACATGCATGCCCATTATGTTATGCATAGGGTATGTTGTACATTACTTTTATTAATTTATACTGGCCCCTCTAAAATCATTACAAGACCGACAATAGTTGGCTGCAATTAAAGCTGTGATTTTCATTAAAAAAATGAACATTGATGTTTTTTAACATGATACTCACTGACAATTACTGCGTACACAAATGTATTATACTTGAAAATAGTTCATGCTATATTAATATTTTACAAAAAATGTCTCGATTTTAAGGATCTAAAACCTGCCAACTTGCTAATAAATTACGAAGGGACGCTGAAGATAGCTGATTTGGGTCTAGCGCGTCTTTACTGGCCCGATGGCGGTCGACCCTACTCCCATCAAGTAGCTACGAGGTACAAAATTAGAATTAATATTTAGATACACAATTCTCCCACTCTGCATTTACGTCAACTCAAAGCATTATTAATAAAATGCTGTGAATTAACGTCAGTGAGTTTAATTTTTATTTAAATAACAACTCTTATGATGTACATTTCGAATTATACTAATATGCCTATTTTCAGATGGTATCGTGCCCCAGAACTTTTGTATGGAGCAAGGTTTTACAGTGAAAAAGTAGATTTGTGGTCCGTGGGATGCATAATTGCAGAAATGATAACCAAGCAACCCCTATTTGCGGTAATTTTAACATATGTATTGAAAAATAAGTTGGTACTTTTAGGCTAGGTACACACAACTAAGCCCCGGGGCGGCAGATGTGGAACAACTGCTGCCCCGCGGAGGGCTTTAGAAGGGTGTCGTATTCATTGCACCAACATGGCTCCATTTGGCCGGACCGGGTGTCCAAATACCCGGAGAGAGGAGGCCTAAGAATGCCACAGTTGCGCCGGGGTTCACAGAAGATTGCGTTCGTGTTTCAACGTGGGTTTTCAGTGTTAATTTACTCACAAGGCGGCGGGGGATGCATAAAGGATTTTTCCCCCGTAAAAAAGGTATACACAACTAGGGTACACATCGCATTGGCCGTCATCGTTTATTCCTGTTATTTATTCCAATCCTCGGAAAAAGAAGCAGGTATGTACATGTGCCTATGTATGTGAAAATAATCGCTGGATCTTACTCTTCAAAGTATACCCTTAGTAGACTTCAAATTATGCCCTTTTAGAAGCTCAGAGACTTCACATTGTCGTAGTTCCCGAAATCTAATTTAAGTCGCCTTATAAGAGTCATCAAAATTCAGAATAAGAGAGTTTTGGTGAGTACAAGTCCCATGAGTTAAACAACCCTATCTTCCCTGCAAGAAACAGGGTACCTTTTGAAAATTATCCCCAAATTCACAAAATAATAGCAGCATAACTCTTTCCATGGTTTGTTATGAAATGTGAGTGTCTCTAAAAGACCGGCTGTGTTTTATTTTTTAATGCGAGAAGGTCGAATCAATCGGTTTAGTTAAGTGATCTGATGTTGAACTAACTGCTGCTCCGCGGGGGGCTTGTGAGGGGTGCCGTGCTCATTGCACCGACACGGCACCATTTGGCTGGATCGGGTGTCTAAGCACCCGGGCAGAGGAGGCCTGAGAAAGGCACAGTCGCGCCGGGGTTCGCGGAAGATTGCGTTTTCGTGTTCCCGTGTCCCCGGCAAAGCGGCAGCGCAGGTGCAACGTGGGTTTTTTAGTGGTTACCCCACGAGCCGAAGGTTCACCTGATGTTAAGTGAATACCGCCGCCCATGGACATCTACTGCACTCGAGGGTTGCAGATGCGTTGACAACCTTTTTAAAATTGGGCTCCGGCCACCTCACTCACCGGACGAAACGCGAAAGTATTATACTTCCACTTTACGCCGGTATTCTGTGAGGTCGTGGTACTTACCCGGACGTGCCTGCCCATTCGTGGAACAGCCGAGACTGCTGTGTGGCCCTACCACCGTAACAAATTCGTGCAAAATTACTGCACTGTCCTACTACCCCTGTGCAGGACTACTTTTGCAGAGTTTTGCGAGTAGGATATAGCGTAATTTCCCGAAGGTTCCCCATCCGAGTTTGATTCTTCACACGACGTGTCGCAGTTGGACCTACTTGACTGGACAGTTTATCCAAGGAACGGATTTAACATGTACACTAGGCACGTTTTTCATGTTGCTCATGTTTCAAGACTATCTGCCTGTACGGAATCGTTATGAGGTCACCCAGCATAGTATTAGACGTTCCAGTGGCTTTATCATGATCAGGGCCAGATTTAGAGGTCCGAAGGCCTCGGGCCAACAAAGGAGTGGCGGCCACTTGGCCCCAAATTATTTTCTATTGATTTCTGTTAATATATAATGTAATCATGTTTGTACAAAGTACTGTGGGTGAAAGTAAATCGCGAAAAAAATATGAAAGGAAAAGTTTTTTACTATTGTTTACTAGTCTGAATTTGAAATACTTTTTTTTCCGAAGTCTATTGTGGGGGCCCTCTTTTGTGTAGGCCCTGGGGCTGTTGCCCCGGTTGCCCTTCCCTAAATCCGGCCCGGACCATGATTATTATATCGTCGGCAAAACGAAGGTGAGATTGATGTATTAGCCACTGATGCTGATGTCGAATCCATCCCAGTCCATGATTTTGAAAAACATACGAAAGGACTGCAATCACGAATCGAAGGCTTTCTTACATTCCACAAAAGACCACCTTTGTACCAGTATGCGTATGAAGCTAATACAAATATAATATGAATCATCATCATATTCTCCTGCCCTTATCCCACCTAGATGAGGTCGGCACAACAAGTCGGTCAATTGTGTAAGCGATTTTGTCTGTTTTTTCACGATCGGCCGCCTGCCTCCTGGGAAAAGCACCCAGATGCGAAACAGTTATCTGTGGGTCACATAAATACTTGTCCCGAGTGGGAATCAAACCCATATCTTATGAACCCCGACGCCGAATCCAATAGCTTAGCAACGTCGCCACCGAGTCACCTAATATAAATATAATATAAAATGGATACTATATTTACTAGCATGCATACGTAACAGGGTGAATCGGATATAGAACAACTCGCAATAGTACTTCAGCATCTTGGAACACCTACCGAAGATTCCTGGCCAGGTCATTCGGAGTTGCCAGACTACCATAAAATAACATTTCCGGAATCCTCGCCCACTCCGTGGACGGAGCTCTTGCCAGGAGTAGAACCTGAGGCCTTGGACCTTATCAAGTCTTTCGTACTTTATGACGCCAATAAAAGAATATCAGCCAAAGAGGTGAGACTTTTATTTGTTTAATTCCAAATTAATTTCAAATGGGAGAATTTTTAAACATTAACATGTATATCTTTTAGATAATATTTTTTCCCTATTTGTGATAGACCATAAAATTTTATTAAATTAAAAATATCTACCAAATGTCATTTAAAGACAAAATTGTCTTAGCTTGAAATTTATGTATATCTTATGACATCATTGCCTTCCCGCAATATTAGGGGGGAGATAATAAATAAGACTGTTTCCAACCTATATTTATAATTTTACGTAAATTTTGTGTTTTAAATTTTGCATTTCAGGCCCTTCGGTGCGCTTGGTTGCACGCGAGGCCGTTTCCTGCTACCATGCCAGAAATGCCGAAGCCAAACATCAATAAACCGAAATAATATTAATATGTTTAAATATATTTATTAATAATAAAACTAATCACAATTTTGTTTTAATACTTTTATTCCCTTGAAATCACTTAGCACTATTTGCATACTAATAAAAATATACTTAATAAAAAGTCCAAATGAATATACATAATTACAAGAGAAGTTGTACTTTCATCATAATTTGTGAACATTTGAGCCAATATTTTTGGATTTTGAATGAACATGTAAGTACCTAAATGTAGATAGCTAATGAACATGCAAATAATGATTAGTAGACTATTTAATTTTACAATGTTACAGCTAAACACGAAGCAGAAATGTACAGTTGATTCATTTGATTTAGATTATAATTGAACACAAATCAAAATTTTTAATTTTTAAGACAAATAAAAAAAAAATTACTTTTCCTTTAAATATCTCCTCAAATATAGAAGACAATTGGTGGGCGAGTTAAAATTATACAACATTGTATCTGACTATATATAGGACAGTCAAGACTATATATAGGATATTAAAAGATTAAGGAAGGCCGTTGCACAAAATAAACTTTTTACAATAGTCTAAACGGGAACAAAATATATATCTTACACATATAGTAAATAAACCAAAGACATGCGTCATATTATGATGCGAAAGATTTCCCGAAAAAAAGACAAATGACAGTTATTTCTGAATTACGCAAAAAAATTATAAAGAATATAAAACTGCAAAACTCTAAGAGATACCCGAAATATAAGCTGTTATAATAAGCGATGTTATCTATCCATATAGTATATAATTTGACATGGTGACCATAAAGTCAACGCCATTGGGAGATCACAACATGAACAAATTATTTATTCATCAATACAGTAAAAATGCAGCCTGAACTTACATAATATACGCACTTGTAAACATTCCTTCATTAATGCTACTGTTGTAAAAATACTTGGAAATTAAAATGGTTACCCTTTTTGGAGCACTCACTCACTTGAGACTAATTCAGAATTAACGCTTAGCCATCATTACGTTTATTTGCGAAGATCAGTCTTAATGACTCATTGATAAGATTCCTTCTATCACATCTTAGATTTCATCTGTCCACATAATGAACTTAATGATTGGTTAGTTCTAAAAAAAAGTCTCTGAGTGTTCCCATTTCACACAATAAAAAATTCGTTGAGAGCATGTTATATTCGTTTATCAATAAGCACTCACTATTCTGTCTGCCTAATTACTTTAACAATACTTTGTTTTAACTATTATTGCTTCAAGAAGACTTTCATGTCAAGTAATATCATTTAAAATACCACCAAGTTAAAAAGTGCACGTACCCTTTACTGATTTTACCACAGCCTTGATTCTTAAAAAAATAGTAAAATATTGTAAGATTTCATGTAATATTCCTAAATTAAAGAAAAACCTTTCTCTATGTAAAAGCTATTTAAAACACAATGGAATAATGTGTAATGAGTCTCAAGAGATCATATTATGGAGTAATTACAGAAATGATGGACATGAGAACTGTTTTCCACCAAGATAAATGTGACAAAAAGGTATTAGTAAAAAAGTAAAGTAACAGCCTATACACGTCCCACTGCTGGGCAAAGGCCTCCTCTATACAGAGGGCGTCAGGGCATAGTCCACCACGCGGCCCCACTGCGGATTGGCGGACTTCACATATCTTCGAAAAATATTTTTTTTGTTATTATTTCGAAAATATGCAGGTTTCCTCACGATGTTTTCCTTCACCGCGGAGCACGTGATAAGTCAGCACTTAAAGTTAAAAACTTCATTGGTGCCGGCACCGGGGATCGAACTCAGGTTGCTCGAGTATATTGAATTATAAGAAATAACAGGTGAGCCCGGACACTGAGCTATCACAGCTCCTATAAAAAGGTTTTAAGACAATGATTTTTTTTTAAATACTACAAATATAGTCCCTAATTTTAGCAAGAAAGTAAAAACAATCATTTTCAACCAAACTGTTGCTACACTGAGACTTCTTAATTGGATCTTACATTAAATATATTGTTGCAGATGCAACTTGATTTTATTCATTCAGCACACGAAGGTTTATTGTATTTAAAATCTAATGCATCTCCTTATCTCTTTCAATTTATTGAACAAAAAGTTAGCCTGATTAATGCCCTAATTTGTTTTTAAATTAGTACCAGCTAAAATAAACCTCAAATATGTGAAATTCTCAATCCTGTGTAATAATAGATTTGCCTTTCAATGTGAGGTGGCAAAAGCAAGGAGACAGTTCACTTGATGTTACATTACTACTGCCATATATCTTGCAGGTTGCCGATGTCTTGCAAACATAGATATGCTATATGTTTACTTTAGTTTTTATAAATACACTATTGAATTGGCTGCAATTTTTATATAGTCAAAAGTCATGTTAAAGTATTTTTTTTAATGGAGCCCAAGAGGTCATTGCCTTATTATAAACCTTCATAACAACATCACATAAACTTCATCAAATTTTTACACATTATAAAATGTTTTTATTTAATTATTTTGACTTTACATGAACACAGGAGTTTATTAAATTAAACTATTTTTACGCATTCTATTATGCAGTTTGCTCGTGATTAAGAAGTAAAGTAGTAGTTCAAACATCTGGGGCAATGTAATTTGTGTAATCTGTCAATTAGAAATCATTGACTAATCAATTGATTTGCTAGGAATCTAGTGTTTAGTTAGGAACCCTCCTAAAACCCTTCTCTATTTAAAAGCTATTTGTTAAACCATACTTAATATAAGGAAATAAATACATCAAAATTTAAGGCTTGTATATAGCTCATACAAACAGTCTAAAAGCTTTATAACCACAAGCTTCAATGTTTGGCTATGTGTTAATTAAAATATAATTCTTAATATTCTTAATGATTAAGCTAAGCCATATTCACTCTATATTTACATCTGAATATGATTTTATTACAATGCTCTATAAGAGCAAGCTATGAAACCCCTTACAAATATGGGGTAATATCTTAATTTTCACACATACTTTCATAGATACATTCAAAATACTTTACACTATGAATTTTTATACACTGTATTCACAATTTAAAGAAATTAGAAGGATTTATTCATGAAATCTTTATCTTTTAATGGTTTGGTAAAATGTGCAATTTTATTGTCAATGTTCCATTTCTCCTTGAGGTGGTGGCAAATGTGGTGGGAATCTTTAATGCAACACATTACGCAAGATATAGGTCACGCGCGCGTTAAATCCTACTCAGTGAGATTGTCTCCGCAAGTTCTGCATATTTACCATTGAGTTTAGAAAACCAATTATTACTCACTTAAGCTATCCAATATATTATGTGAACCATACAATATAATGTAATATGATGTAACTACAAACAAATGGTTTAAGGGAAAAAGCTATTTTGACTGCAATGAGAACAAGGAGGTATAAATTCTTGCAGCATTCCACATATTTTCCACCTAAAACCTATATACCACACAATTATTTGGCTCATTTAAGTTTTGAGCTTACTAAACATGATATTAAATCATAATATAAATACTGCCATAGCATTTACAAGCTTCTTTGACCACTTTGCGCTATGTATGAAAAACACAAAATGTTAGACCTAAAAAAGTTAATGGTAATGTATTGCAACAAATTACGTACCTTCAGCCGTACCTATTCATATTATAAATATTAATTTTAAATAAAAGTCATTCCAGAATCTTTCTTTTAAATAATTGGTCATTAAAAAATTAAGAATATTTTATCTTTCAATATTAAAACTACTTATTTCTAATAACAATGCCACAAGCAGAGTTTAATAATGAAGTTTACTATTGATTTTTCGCCTACACATTTTGTTATCATAATATAAAAAATTGTGAAACAAGTCCACTCCAGTATAAATTACCTTAGCTGTAAAATTGGTATCATTTTGGATACATTAATATAAACCATTTGAAATGTTAATATGTAGTAATAATAAACACTTCCTGCAATATATATGAACAATAATGTTAACAAATGTATTTGCGAACATACTGATATGAATTGTTGTTTAAAAATTGCTATGAGATAAATTCAATTATTACAATTTCTTATTGTTTTGCGTCACTTCCTTCGGCGAGTTTCCATAGAGATCTAGCTGAGAAATCATGAACACACAACTCACACAAATGGCATAATCAACAACTCTTATTGGAGACCATAAGGGCCTAAGAAATTCATCCAGACTGCATGCTGTTCTTGGGCGGCAAGCAGCGGTGGGGTCCTGTGCTAGTTGTGCAGCCAGCCAGCGACTTGGAGGTATTGTCGCACGGCCACGTCCACGTCGCTGTCGGCTGAAGGAGGCCGACGCAGCAGAACGCCCTTCAGCGTCACATACTGAGCTGGCGCTAAGCTCAGAGCGCTGCATAGCTGTGAATAAAAAAAAATAGCTACAATTATGTTGTATTTACATTTTGTGTCGAAAGTGTTGAGTGATAACAATGACAGCAAACTACTAAGGTCTATTGTAGCCTCCCCTTCGAAAACATCGCCCCTTCATTTAGGATAACTTTTTTATTTGTTTATTTATTATTATATTTGTGAGAAAGTGGCAAATGAGGTTTACCTGATGTTAAGTGATAAACGCCGCCCATGGACATTTGCAACACCCGTAGGGTTGCAAATGCGTAAAGTAAAAAAAGTAAGATAACAGTCACTGCAAAGGCCTCCTCTATAGAGAGGGTATCAGGACATAGTCCACCACGCGGCCCGACCGCGTATTGGCGGACTTCACATATCTTCGAAATATATATATTTTTTTGTTATTATTTCGAAAATATGCAGTTTCCTCACGATGCTTTCCTTCACCGCGCAGCACGTGATAGCACTTAAATTTAAAAAGTTCATTGGTGCCGGCACCGGAGATCGAACTCAGGTTGCTCGAATATATTGAACTAAAGGCGAGCGCCCGGACACTGAGCTATCACGGCTCTATGTGTTGCCATCTTTAAATAAAGTAGGCCATAGCTACCTCACTCACCAGACGAAATGCAGAAATGTAACACTTCTACGCCGGTCTTCTGTGATGTCGTGGTACTTACCCGGACGGAACCTGCCCATTCGTGCAAAAGTGTTGCGTGGCCCTACCACCGCAATTTATTTATTCTTTATTGCAATTACCCTTAAAAAGATAATTACAAAGGGCGAAATTAATGCCTTTTATCCTGCGTTATAATATGAGGACATTTATGTACATAAATTTCACGTGGATAAAGACCCAAGTCCGAAGCAATTATATAATGTGAGTCACACAAATAGCTGCTTCGTGTAGAATCGAATCCACATACCTCGAAGCGCAAGCCAATATCTTGGCAACTGAGCCACCGAGTCATCATGTTGAATTCAGTCTGTTGCTTTATTAAATGTCTTATTGAAATAGTAATGGACTGTCAAGGGATATTTCTAAAACTATTTAATATTTTGTACATTGTTAATAACCATCCGCGCAGTGGTTACTGAATTTGACTTACGTCGGTAGGTGTTGGTTGGTGTCCAGTACCGGAAAATTGACTGTGTTTAAATATATTTATCAGTTACCTAGTACAGAATACAGGGGTTTCTACAATATTCATTAAACGATGTTGCGTTAATGTCTTGAAATAAGTATGTCATTGTTAATGGTAGACTAAAACACCTGTATTTCGTTATTGTTGAGAAGCTGCGTCGAGCAGACGCCGTTGTTGTTGCTGCATGAGTTCTTTTTGGAGCAGCCACATGCGGTACTTCCGTCCCGTATGCACTTTGGGCTGGTGGAACTTGAGCCGCTTTCGCCGTCTCTGCATTAATCGCAAAATTGCAATGGAATCTTCTGACACAACTACATATTCCTATATTTATTTTTGAAATGTACTCAGAGTTTTGATCTAGCACAGTAATCACCATCACACAAGATCGAAACTGTTGAAATGATCATTGATGTCAAAGACATTTGCGTAGATCCTTCACGCTTCAAAAACACCCGAGTAAGGTCACTAGTATTATACAAAATAAAAAAAATGCTTACTTTTTTCTTTGTTGCAGCATGTTGGTCTGCATTTGATCTTTTGTCTGGTTGGTGTCCAGGCACCCACTGCTGCCCTGGCGAAAACAATTGTTATACGAGATCAAACCCAAAACTACACATCTACGTGCCATATCTATCCGCACGCTGATGTTGACAAACAATTAATTGTTCTATAAGGAAATATATGCAATAGAAAATTTTATTCAAAAGAATAGTCATTTTGTCATCCGGTTTACCAACCAAAATAATATAGTAGATTTAAAAGGCAGTTAACAAATACACACAGTTCACACTTTTATCAGTTTCCAAAGTTTTTTTAATTACACAGGGGAGGTGTACAGTAGAGCATAGTTTAATTTGTGTAAATAATTATATACAACTTCTGCACATTGTAAAAGATTTTTTATGATTATAAATATTGATTTAAAAGTATGAAATGTTATATGGCATACTTATATAAATTATTCTATCACTAATGGCTGTGAGTGTGAACATCATATTCAGCGGTATTTTCATCATCCGCACTCCATACCTCCATTTTATATACTACAATGTTTTCCACCCTGCCTCCTAATATTAGCTTTCCTTCCAACTGTCGTTTTAAAAGTATCCAAAACCCGTAGAATTGCAGATACGGTTAAAAAAGTGATCACACTTCCACTTTACGCCGGTCTTCTATGAGGTAGTGTTACTTCCAGGGATGGACCTGCCCATTCGTGCAACAGAGAAGGCAACTGCCGAGCGGGGTCGCTGACGGTGAACGTACGTCTAGGTGGTGGTTGGCGGCGTGCGGGTGCTTCCGGTGGGCGGCGTGCTGCTCGTAGTGGGCGCACTCCTCTAGCCGGGTGACCCCCGCCAGCCGGTAGCGGTGCAGTTCCGCCAGCCGCACGCGAAGCTCCCTCTCCCGCCACAGACCAGCCACCACGCCGCTCTGCTCGGAGCGCCCGTAGAACTGCGCCGTCCAGCGAAGCCGCTCCGTGAACTCTCTGGAACGTTATCGTCGACACTTCACTATGGTGGTAGGGTAGACGGCTCCGTGGAGCGGTTGCGAAGGCATTGTCTTAGGCACCGGATGTCGTGGGTTCGACACTCGAATGGGTCGACTGTTTGTATGAACCACAGATAAAAGTTTCGGATCTGGGTGTTTGTCCATGTGAAATTTATGTACGTAAAATGTCCTTACAACGCGCGATAATGTTATCCTACAATAACAGGGAAATTTCTTCGAAGGGACCACACCACAACCCCTTCCATACAAAATACAATACAATAGCTAGGTCTTTAGCGAAGTCTTGTTAATTCTAAATGTAAAAACAATACAATGGTGGTGGGGTTTACATACATGTTGTCTATCTCAATAAGCACTATCTCAGAATCTTGAAATGGGAATAATAAAACATATCAATTTGTATGTGTATTTTTACTCACTTTTTCTCTTTGGCAAGTTTTCCAAGTGTTCTTTGCTTATTTCTCTGATTGTTAAAAAATATTGAGACTAGTTGATAGTCTCTCACTAGCCTTTTTCGTCTCGTCCTTTCTCTTAATCGCCGTGTGTAAATGTCAACTTGAGATAATTTTAGAGCTGAAAAAATTATATCATACGCTAAGCAAATATAGTGCAGCAAATATAATTTCCTGCATGCAAATCTCCAAAAAATATAAATTGACTCAACAATGTTATTTATTAACTAGCTGCTGCCCGCGACTACGTCTGCGTAGAGGGGTGAAAATTTAGGGTTGTATGTATTTTTGTATGCTGTGTCATAAAAAAATGAAACAAAAAGTTTTATATAAAAAATAAAAATAAAATTTAGGGGTGGACTACCCCCTTAACATTTAGGGGGACGAAAAATAGATAGTAGCCGATTCTCAGACCTACTGAATATGCATATAAAATTTGGAAAAATCGGTCGAGCCGTTTCGGAGGAGTTCAAGTTCGAACCCCGTGACACGAGAATTTTATATATTAGATTTAGTATGCAAATTTCAATACATTAAAACACTACATAAAAACTTTCATGATTCAAATGTATGTCACATAATTTGCTGATCTGTATGTTATCGAACCGTGACACCAATTCAACTTTAACAAACTAATTTTGTACACACTGTCTGAAAATTAATATCAATAAATTCATTAATAATACATATTTTGTGGGTTTTGTAATACTATACAGAATCCATAATTACGGGAGAGACAGGTTTTTTACATAACTTATTTCATATCATACTAATGTGGAAATCTGTTTCAAACAATCAGTATTAAAACATTATTTAGTAACTGCAATAATTATATTATGGATTAGTAAAGCAACCATTAACCATTTGTAGCAGCACAATGATCTTTAATTGAGAGAAGTAAATTAAATATGTTATAAAATATGTTGTTATTACACCATAATCATCAGATAATCACTGTTGAAGAGCGTTCCTCTCCTTAGGATGCCCATAAAATTACATAAACAGTGTTATAATAAAGAGATATACATATGTTTTTAGTTAAATAAACACGAGCAACCCGAGGTCAAATCCCAATACCAGCACCAATGAAGGTAATTTTAAGTAAGCTGTCCCTAGAAGATACTTGGTGATGAGGGAAAACTATTGCTAAGAAACCTGAATACTTTTAGAAATAATAGAAAATGTTTAATACAATTTTAAAAAGTTATCCTTTATATGTGTGTTTATTTATTGTCACGGTTGTAATGACACATATATATATATAAAATGGATTTTTTAACGTTTAAATTTTTTTATGATTATTGCAAGTAGAATTAGATGTGTGTTCATTTATTGTCGCGGTTGTAACGACACGCGGTATATTTATATATTACAATGACATGAGAAGTCCACAATCCACAATGGGGTCGCATAATGGACTCTACTACAGAGTGTATTTTATATTAGTTAACGAGTCAAATGAAATATAATATAGGTTGTTAGTTCACATTTAACTTTTTTAATAGTCTATTTATTCAATTTATAATAGCAAAAATACATTTTATCTACATGGAAATATGGAATAATGAATTTGATGAGAAATATCTTAATACTCGATCTTAAGTCTGATTCGATTTTCTAACATTATAGTTTATTGAATGGTTTATCAATAAATCGAAATATTATGTATTATAAAGCATAGACAACTCACCAACATCTAACTCATCATCTTCCGGATTTAAAGACAATGTTGATATCAATTGTTCCGCTTCATGGTCATGCTCCTAAAATTTTGATAAATCTTATAGATATATTCTTTCTTGATTTAAAAGTGATAGTAAAAAAATAGCTTCATTTATATACTCAAAGCCAATTTTTTCACAAATGCAAATTTAAAGAAACTAATTATAACATACCCTTTCGAAGTCATCTCTATTTGACATGTAACCAAGTTGCAAAGCTTCATCTGCAGTAACTGCAAGGGGTGGCAAACGAGAAACGGCACTAGGTCCTAATGGTCCCTCATCCCTATCAGCACAGTGTAGTGATGGTCGGCTGGTGCTTTCAATGTTACCCCATGTAGCTCTACCAATACTGCCTTCTAAGTATCTTGTTATGTATTCATCCTTTGCTTCTAAAATTGAAACATTAACAGGTGCTGCATTAAATATATTATTGTGCTTGGGTGGAATATTTTTAAATTATTATCTACAATCACTTAATAAGCTCCAGTAAAAACTAATTAAAGAAAATAACTTTTACCTTCAGGGGATCTTGACTCAATGTGCTTAGCAATATCTTCCCAATTTCCAAAACCAAATTGTTCTATAGCATCCAAAAGTCGTACTTCTTCATTAGCAGACCAACTATTGCGACCAAGGAATATACCAAAAGCCCCCGAATCCTGCAAGTTGAAAACAGTTTAGCAATAAAACAAGAATAATCAAAATTTAAAATTACATGTAATTAAATTATAACTTCAACGCACCATAAACTGGTAGGAGTGATCATTTTTATGTGGTCCAATTTCTGCACCGAGAGAAAAACACTGTGAATGTAAGAATAAATAAATTTAAATTATTTTTCAAAAGTCGCGCCAAAACTATAAACAAAAATGGCTACGATGATAACTTACCTGCAAACAAATATCAAAATCTATGCACTCAGAGCATCTTACGCGAACTCCGTTTATTTCCACTTGACAATAAGTGCAATTATATTTGGCATATAAATCTGAAAACGACATGTTTCTAGTTTAAGCGTATATCAGTCATGCGTTGGCAGACTTTAACTCTATGTATACTATAGCTGACTACACCGGCCGCCATGTTTTTTTTTTCTCAATAGATAAATAATTACATAATCAAAAAACTATTAACTAGTTATTTAGATTTTTTAAAACCATTTAAATCCAATACATAAACTCAAACTTATTTTTTAATAAATTAGAAGAAAGCAACCATTAAATATTGTTAACAGGGAATTGTAAAAACATTTTTTATTGGAGTTTCTTATAATTCCGGGCTTTAGCTTTGAAAATAATTATCGTCGGGAGAGGTCCACAGTTCCAACCTATTTTTATTTTACTCAGGAGAACCACATTAGGACAACGGAACTGGTGTACGATGACGACACGATGTCACCGTCCGTTCCCCTGCAACTTCGCGACCTCAGTTAACGAAAGATAAACATTGTGACAAAGAATAGGCTAAATAATTTATATAGGATTCGGTTTAATTAAAGAATAACTGATATATACTACATAGCGGCCCGCGGGCCGCTTGCGGCCCGTTAAACATGTTTATGCGGCCCGCCAAGCATTTCTAAAATTGAATTTATTTTATCGAATTTCTCCCATCAATATATTGTTATGAAATTAATTATAATAAAATGGTAGTACATACTGAACCGAAGTATTTTTTGTTCGTTTTTCTGCTCTTTTCTTGTTTGTTTTTACCTTGCATTAAAATTTGTATATGAAATCTTTACTTTTTTAATTTTATGTTTTATTATTCTAATATTTATTATAAATAAAGTTTCGTGAATTATTATGTGCGGCTCGCCAAAAAAAAAATTAAATTTAAATTGGCCCATTGATTAAAAAGATTGCTCACCCCTGATTTAGCCTATTCTTTTTTAAAATGTTTATCTTTTGTTAACAGAGGTCGCAAAGTTGCAGGGGAACGGACGGTGACATCGTGTCAATTCGTGTCGTCATCGTGCACCAGTTCCGTCGTCCTAATGTGGTTCTCCTGAGTACTCTTAAAATAGTTTGGAACTGTGGACCTCTCCCGACGATAATTATAATAATATTATACGATAATTATAACTATATATATATATATATTATAGTATATTTTTATTTTTTTTCGAATGTGTTAAGAAACAACAGTACAACAACATTTCGACAAACCAAATAATAGCCAAAGACCGAGACCATTGGAGTTTTCTGGAAGAGGCCTTCACCCACTTGAGGAAATTTATTAATTAAAACATGTAGAAAAGTTTATTAATTAAAACATGTGGAAAAGTAAGTGCAGAGATTAGCACTATAAAAAACTTTAAAAATTTAGAAATCTATTAATTTTTAAATTTTATGTATTATTGTTAAATAAAATTTTAACTCAATCTGATTCATACTAAAATAAAAAAAATGTTAGAGAAAGTTTCCATAACACTTTTTAATTTTAATTTTCAGATTACACTCGAAACGACTAATAATTATTACGAAGTACCTTTTTAAATCATTATCTACATTAAAAAAAAACTCAAAGCATGAGGAAGCTAAAAGTCGCTCATCAAGCCATGGAGCGGGCTATACTCGGTATTTCTCTGCGTGACATAGTTCGCAGCGAAGACATCTGCAGTAGAACAAAGGTGCTGATGTAGCTCAGAAGATTAATAAGTTGAAGAGGCGATGGCCTATCGCTCGTAGAACCGATAACCAATGGAGAAGATAGGTTTTTGAGTGGCAGCAGGTCGACTCCTGCATGAACACGATGGATGCAGGGTGCACAGAATCTTACTTCATGGCAGTCTGTGAAAGAGGCCTATGTTCATCAGTGGATTCAAATAGGCTGAAATGATGATAAAGTTAATTAGTTGACTATTTATTTAACAGATTTTTAAAAGAATGAATCTACTGTAGGGTATATTATTGCTAAATTTAATTGTAAAAATCCAAATATTTATTTACTTTTCCTTACACGTTACTGTTTGTTTGATTCTAAAAGGGGTTCTTTTTTTACGTTTTTCCACCCAAAGATTGATCGTATAATATAGAGTATCTGTTTTCTTTAATTCCATTGAAAATTATCTATCTGTTGAAATTTCTTAGAATTATATTAACTGTGCTCGTGTACCAATATAAAGTTTATGTCAATTTCTGATCTGAAATCAAACCAAATAGCAATATTTCTGTTTCATATTTATATTTATATAGATATATTGATATATTCTATTACACTCCAGTCATTCGCAATTACATTAATTAAAAATTCTTAAATAAAACAAATCCTTCAAGTTTTGTAAATAAGTACAGAAACCAAACATACACAGGTCACAGAGTATTGCATTTTGTTTTCATGCCTAGACTCATGTGCAATGTAATGTGATAGTTGGCTAATTTTCCTGTACTTGTGGGTCCTCGACCATGAAATCTAGTAAACGAAGACTTCAAGCGCTCACGGAAAGTTCTGATGGACTACCCAATTACATTAAAATGGACGATTCAGAAACATCTATACCGCCAGTACTTAGATCCCGTTTGCATGATCTATTTTCTCAAATAGAAAAAGAGTTTGACCTTCTTTATGCAGAAAATTTAAATTGTAAGCAGGTTTAGCGAAACATACTGTGATGAAATTTCTAGTGGCCCAGTTTTTACATTATTATCATTGTATTTTCAGTGCAAGAAAAAATTGATATACTCAGTGAAAAACTCGAAAGAGAGAGTTATGTTGGAGATAGACAAAATCAGGATTATATAGAATTTGAAACTTCTGGAAAGAATTCTAAAGTAAAATGTAAGTAGTTCCTGTTTCTGTGGGTGTAAATAATTATGCAAATTTTTTTGTAATTAAATTTTTGTAGATTTGTTACATTTTTACAGATATAGTTTGATTGAAACTATTTGCAAGAGCATTTGCAAAATCCAAATGTACCAATTCTTTATGTTAATCAATATTTAGAATAATGTTGTCCTAATATTAATAATTATTAAAATAACCTCCTTTTGAGTTGGTTAATCATTAATATTTTCTGTCCAAAGTCAGGTTCACATGTAATATTTTGTATAAAGCGAAATTTTACATGTTGTTATTATTACATGTTAATTTTAATAAACAGATTTTTTTATTCAAATAACTTGCTTCAAATATGACACTTGTTTTTAGTGACTCAAAGTAACTCTCAAAAAGTGAAGGCAAGCCACAAGCTTCGAGTTCAGACCAGTAAAATAGTGTCAAGTTTTAAAGCACCTACATATAACTGTCAACTGGTAAGAGAGTTCACTGGACACAAGGATGGTATCTGGGATGTTTCATCTGCCCGACCAGGCCAGGCACTTATTGGAACTGCATCAGCAGGTAAACATTTCAGAAGCTATGTATTATTTTTTTTATGAATTTTCCCATAAATATAAGTTTAAATAAATATTAGGCTGTTTCAATGTCTTATTTTTACTACTTAAAATTTTTTTTCAGAGTTCAATATTGCGTATTGAGTTAGTATAATACATAAAAACAATAATTACATCTGTTTACATCCATTTCTACTTTAAATTTACTATGTTTCTTAAAAACTGCTAAATTGATAAAAAAGTGTTTATGTAATGTTTTGTAATAGATACTCAAAACAATTCAGCTGTTAATAATTTTTTGTTTAAAGTAAGATGGTGTCTGAACAAAACTAATATTATACAATATATTGCCTTATTAGTTATTACATGTAAGATTTGTTTATTTCAAAACATGTTGTAACCAATTACATCAACTATAATAGTAACAACTGTATTACATAGAACATATTCAAAACATAATATTGATAAGACCCATTACTAAATATGTACAGAAATAATTGTTTATTTTATGTATTTTAGTTATAGATTGTATTTTAGTTATAGATAGTTATATTTCATAATTTTAATATAGTACAAGTGTTTTGCTATAGAATTTCTTTAAAATTTTGAGGATATTTAATAAAATAAGAAGTCAGACTATACTTTGCAATATGCAAAATAGATTTTAACAAAACTCAACTTTTTTAGACCACACAGCATGTGTATGGAGTGTAGAATGGGGAAAGTGCTTGCTACAATATACAGGACATTCAGGATCCGTCAATTCTATCCGTTTCCATCCAACAAGGGATATAGCTCTCACCAGTAGTGGTGACAATACTGCTCATGTTTGGCAGGCTGCGGTTAATTGGGACCTTCCAGTAAGACAATTTCTTTGTACAAATGATCTTTCAAACCAATGATATTTTATATAAATGAGAGGTAGATATGATAGTAGCACACTGAAATTGAGGCATTCAAATTACTCCAATTGGTGTAATTGCTATTCTATAGCCTGCTACCTCTTTCCAAATCATACATTCTATTCTATATCATCTCATGTTCAATTATATGTGTCATATGATGTAAAGCAGAACAATTTTTCAACACTACACAGTAAAGATGTGCATCTACTTTATCAAAACATCATTGTTTCAAACATGATATGTATAATAATAAAAATGCACATAATGCCATTTCATGATTATATAATTTATAGGGTTCCGTATCATAATAGATAAACAAGGAACCTTTTATAAGATCACTCTCTTGTCTGTCTATCTGCCCGTGTGTTACCACCAATTTTCATACCACATACCATAGTCCTTATTAGGTGTATAAAAATCAAGGTCCCGAGTTAACATGATAAAAGATATGTACTTATTTATATTTTCGCGAATACCAGTACGTAAGTAACAAAATTTACCTTAATTTTCAACTTTTATTTAATTATTTGTCTTAAGCTTTAACCAAAATTGGCCATTCTAGGTCAACTGGAAGTGCCCTATAGGCTTTGGGCGGAAAGTATCTGGTATAAATTTCAACTTGCTCGGTCCACCCATGCCTGAGAAAATTGGTGGTGATTATTTACCAATTTTATTATGACGGTATAATGAGTAGGTACGGAACCCTTGGCGTACGATTTCGACTCTCACTTGACCGATTTTTTTTTTAATATTATCTTTACTGAGTAATGGGTTTGTATTTTCTTGTGTTTTGTCAGCTATGTAAGCTTAAATCTGTTGGGTGTTGAAGAGGTATATATTAAAGAAAATTTAATGAAAGTATTCTAACAGTATAATAATATCTCCAAAATAAATGTGGACTGAGGACCCTTATTCATTGATTCCAATGATTTTCATTAAAATATGCATTTTGTTTTGTGTCAGCGAGGGCAATCTTCTGAGGAAGAACTAGAGGGTGGTGCCGAAGAGAGTCTGGGTGATGGAGGGGACCGGCCAGAGGTCCTACGTACGCCTCTTACCGAGTTGACTGGTCACATTGGTGTGGTGGTAGCAGCTGATTGGCTGACCGGTGGTGATCACGTGATAACCGCCTCTTGGGATAGGACTGCCAACCTGTATGACGTTGAGACCGGCGACTGCTTGCAGATTCTCACTGGTACCAAATTTTTTTACGTTCATGTCCTTTATGAATTCAATATTTCAATATTTTTTTGACAACCTATGATTAGGTAAATGTACAAAAAACCATCCCACCATTTAAATTCCACTGAGTTATAGTGTTTATATTTGAATACTTCTTTGTCTAAACTCTAATGCATACTTTATCCAAAGTCAGAATTCTAACCATAGTTAAGGATGGCGCATTTGCTATGGTGACTTCGGCGTCGGTGATCGTGGGTTTGACTCCTGGCCACTCCAAATAACTAATTTGTATGGCCAACAGATAATTAGATGAGATAATTAGATTAGATAAGATAATCAGATCTAGGTGTTTGTCCACATGAAATTTATGTGTCGGCGACTGCGATAGGTTAGCGATATGCCCGTCTTCGGTAGGAGATTCTGGTGCAGGGTTCATTGCTTAGGTCTTAGGCAATTAAATAACAAAGATATAGTAGGATATATCCTATAGAATACAAGATATATCTTGTATTCTATGAAGATAATCAATATAGTACAAAGTTCCAAAGTGAATCAAGGGTCCCGTTTAGAAGATCCGAACTATCTCGCTCTCACTAATGAACTGAGTAACTCGGTAATAACTGAGCCCAGGCTCACTGCTCTCTCATATTTAAAATGTAACAGTTGCCCCCTCCAAACGATTCCGATCACTTGACTCGTTATGTCACGTTGTTCACACTTCACCGTTACAACAAAATCAATAGAGTTACTAATTATTGTTAAATTATCGTAATCGACGACATATAAACAGGATAGAGCATTATCCCGCCGTAAGAGGGAAACATAGGCCTCCCCCATAGACTGCCACGAAGTACGATCCTGAGCCACCTGCATGCATCGACTTCCCGCACATTTGCTATGGGGGAGCCCTATGTTCAGCAGTGGACTCAAACAGGCTGAAATGATGATGATGATGATAAAGAGGGAAATGTTTTCGAAGAGAAAGCCACAATAGATCTTTCTAGGTTGCAGTTGTCATTGGAACTTACTACCCAAACCCATCAGCACAAAGTACAACACATTAGTTAAGTAGGACTTTAAAGAATTCTTGTTAAATGTGAATCTGATGATATGTGCCAGGCCACGACCACGAGCTAACGCACGCCTCGGCCCACCACAGCGCTCGGCTGGTGGTGACTGCTTCGAGGGACACAACTTTCCGCCTCTGGGATTTCCGTGAGCCGATTCACTCCGTCTCCGTGTTCCAGGGTCACACAGAGTATGCCATGATCAAATCTATATGTAACCCGTTTGATAGTTGTGTTATCACAACATAGTTTAAAACAAAGTCATCCTGCTGTCTGTTTGTCCCTATGTATGCTTAAATCTTTAAAACTACGCAACGGATCTTGATGCAGTTTTTTTTACTAGATAGAGTGATTCAAGCGGAAGGTTTATATGCATAATACATTGCACCTGTGCGAAGCCGGGGTGGGTAGCTTGTATATATTATGTTCGACTACTCTCAAATTCTACTCTAGGCGACTGGTTGAAACTGAAGTGTTTCACTGCGATTGAGTTTAAAATCATTAAAGGACATCCTATGTACGTATATAAAATATATGATAAAATATCCTTAATTGTCAGTATAATATGTGACACTTTCCATTAATGTTTGAATTGACATTTTACTTAATATATGTTTGGAGTAAATGGTACCCAAAGTTTAAAGCAAGTAGCACCAAATTCAAATTAAATTTCTCGTATTTACAGAAGTGTCACGTCTGCGGTGTTCACACAAGAGGAAATGGTACCCAAAGTTTAAAGCAAGTAGCACCAAATTCAAATTAAATTTCTCGTATTTACAGAAGTGTCACGTCTGCGGTGTTCACACGAGAGGATAAAGTGGTTTCAGGGTCTGATGACAGATCCGTGAAGGTGAGTTGGGTTATCTTATATTTTACCCGAATCGAATATAATAACACGCTTAAAACGTCTCATGAGGTCTGCAAATAATTCCTTGTTTATGTTATAAATTGGTAAGTGATCGGGCTGTTCACCTGATGTTAAGTTATCATTGTCGCCCCAGGACATCTACAAAATCTGGTGCGTTGCAAACTTTATATCTAGGGCCTTACTCACCAGGTGAAAGAAAGGCGAAAATTATACAAACTCCCGTGGTGCTTCCCCGGAAGAGTCTGCCCATTTGTGTAACAGTCGAAGCTGATGCGTTCAGCTTCAGCTGTTGCACGAATGGGTAGGCTCCTCCAGGGAAGTACCACGGCATCACAGAAGAGCGGCATGTATTGGAAGTATGTATTAAAGTTTCGCGTTTCTTTTGGTGAGTGGGGTAAGAGAGGCCTATTTTATTTAAAGGTTGTAAACGCATCTACACTACTAGCCCTAAGGTCACTTAACATCAGAATGAACTGCCTGCCCACTTGAAAACTGTAACACACCTGTAAACCTGGGCCGAAGATACACAGAATGTTAATCTTAAGTAAGACAAATAAAAACAAACTTGTAACTAATATGGCAAGGAATAATAAAATAATTTTAAATATCTGTTTGTTCTGGTTAATCTTTAAAACGGCTGGACCTTCACTGGCAAATAGCTGATGTAATAAGGAGTAACTTAGGCTATTCTTATTTTAGAAATTTTATTTATTTTAAATTCCATGAGGATGAAGTCGCAGCACAGCGTATAAAATATGATTGTTTTAGACGGAAGGAGTATAAGCGTTAATAGATAAATCATCAGCCAACCTGCACCAATTCACCAATAACCACTACTGATAGAATTTCGCTGAAGAATAATTATAAAGCGCAGTCAGCATCCAGCTCAAATAGCTTTGCATATAGTGCGTGCGCATCTTATAAAATCACTAACATGTGCTCGAAATATATATATTTTAATTATTATTTCGAAAATATGCAGGTTTCCTCACGATGTATAAGAGAGCATTTAAAATTAACAATTTCATGAGTGCCGGCACTGGGAATCGAACTCAGGTCGCGAGTACGTTGAATTAAAGGCGAGCGCCCGTGCACTGAGCTATCACGGCGAAAGAAATCTTCTTAATCGGGCACTCTTGGCAGCGTGGTCGTGGCTTTCGATGGATAGGATTGCGTCTCGTGGTCGCTGTTCGCTTCCAAGGCGGCCGAACGTCATATATAAAAAATATAACCTCAAAAAGCGCCACCTCCGACCGTCCGCAGGTGTGGGACGTGCGCAACATGCGCTCGGCGCTAGCCACCATCAGGTCCGACTCCTCGGTGAACCGGGTGGGCGTGAGCGGCGGCGGTCTGATCGCGATACCGCACGACAACCGCCAAGTGCGCCTCTTCGACCTGCAGGGGCAGAGGCTCGCGCGCTTGCCCCGCTCCAGCCGGCAGGTGGGCCCGGTCAACCTGTATTCCGGATAGTCCGAAAGTTTCCGATGGTTTCCGTTGCGGATATCACATTTTTCAGGAACTGTACTACGGTACTAACAAATATCACACTTAAGGAAAATGCACGTAAAACAAATGTTTTTTTATTCTAGAAGTTGGCAAGCGAGCTGGTGGCGGTCCACCTGATGTAAAGTGATAACCGCCGCCAATGGACATTTGCAACAGCCGTAGGGTTGCAGATGCCTGCCAGAAGAAACGCAGAAGTATGAGATTATTGTACTTACCCGGATGAACCTGCCCATTTGGAGAAGCTGTTGCGTATCCCTACCACAGTTATAAAACAAAAATACAAATTTGTTAATAAATTGTTATCATAACGTAAATTATCTTTTTTGTTTTATGTAACAAAGTGGCAAGTTAAGTGATAGCCGCCGCCCATGGACAATTGCAACACTCATAGGGTTGCAAATGCATTGCCACCTTTAAATAAAGTGGGCCCCGGCTGCTTCACTTACATTTTTACTTTTTTACTTTACAACATTTTTACTTTACGCCGGTCTTCTGTGAGGTCGTGGTACTTACCCGGACCGACCTGGATAGGCGTGTTCTATATGTTGGATTCCCGAAAGTGTGAACAGAAATTGCATTATTTAATTCCTCCCTCCCCATTCCAACAACGGACAGCAAGATGCTCTGCCATCCTTTTGTTGTTAACATTCAATAACATTCAAGAAGTAATGAGATTCTTACATAATTAATACAGTAACGGTGGTGACTTACGAACTTATATATTATTTATATAAAATTCGACGTTTCATAAGAACGCGCAAGCGTCTATTTGAATAAAGATATTTTGAATTTGAGTAAAAGACTGGAACAGTTTTACCGTTTGATTATAAATTAAGTGCTTAAAAGGCAATAGTGCATAGGCTGTTACCGAGCTAGTGCATTTACCATCTTAGATTAAATCTTACTTACCAACAATGAGATAGTCAGCCACTAGCCTGTATTGGTTTAAAAAACAATGCAAGTGACGAGGTTAGTATACTTATTTAGACTCCGGCACACAATATAATTTCATCATCATCATATCAGATGTCCACTGCTGATCATAGGCCTCCCCCATCGACTTCCACTTCGACCGGTCGTTAGCGGCCTGCATCCAACGCGTCCCTGCGAACTTGGCTAGGTCGTCCATCCACCTAGTAGGAGGCCTTCCTACGCTGCGCTTGCCGTCACGTGGTCTCCACTCGAGAACCTTTTTGCCCCAACGGCAATCGGTTCTTCGAGCTATGTGCCCTGCCCACTGCCACTTCAGCCTGCTGACTCGCTCTGCGATGTCGGTAACTCTAGTTCTTCTACGGATCTCCTCATTTCTGATTCGATCTCGTAGAGAAACCCCAAGAAACCCTTTCCATAGCGCGCTGTGCGACCGCGAGCTTCCTTATGAGGCCCATAGTGAGAGACCACGTCTCGGCATAGTAGGTCATCGTTGGTAGCACGCACGGTATAATTTAGACATTTTTTTTGTCACCATGTGAAATTTTAATTTCAGGGACACCGGCGCATGGTAACATCTGTCGCGTGGGCGGAAGAGATATCGAACATTAACTTCTTCAGCTGCGGCTTTGACCGCCGCATCCTTGGATGGTCTATTCAGCCATCGAAGGAAAACTAAGACACATTGTCATTGTCCCTGAAATGTTTCAATTGTTGTGGTCCTTGAAACTATCTCATTGTTGTTTTTATGTAGTTGTGTTGATTGTTCAGTAGTGTTCCTTGCACTTATTTGGCTATTGGCCAAATTAATTTTTGACTTCTGAAGACTCGATTCTCATTGGCTTTGTGGAATAATAGATCTTCGTGTGGTATTTGAAATGTAAAGAAGCTGTTTTCATTATATTTAATATTCATTGTATGAGGTGTTCATAATAGTTATTTTTTGTCTGTGATTTCATTGGAAAAGTTATTTAAAGGTGTTATGGTATTACTTAACTTCAACTTTATACAGATAATCTTATGTATAAAATCAATTATATATGTATACATCACTATTTATTCCTGTGTTTAGTTTTTCCTTTTATGCTTTATCCTATGTTAATTGCTGTATTGTAAGATAAAATGGTGATAGGATGAAGTGGCAAGATGTCTCTTTTCCTTTTATTATAATGCTATTTTATTATTCAAAAAATATTATTAGACATACAACATTTTAAAGTAAATGCAAATGTTTATTAATTTCATTTCAATATTAATATTCTAAAACTTTGTGTCATTCACATTTTTTCTTTGCCCTCTGCTTGTGCACAATATTTTTTCATTGTTGAGTAGAATAATTCTATTGTTAGCTTTTCAAAGTTTTATTCATATGTAAAATGTTATATAAATTAAACAAATCAGGTGATTGTATATTAGAGAAATTAGAGGATTGTTTAAACATGTCTAACAATATCACATTTGGTAAAAGGGTTAACAAAATAGATATTTGATGTGACTTAGATTTAGTACCAATGTTTAATTATTTTAAAATGTCCTGTTGTATTTAGATGTAAAGCTATTTGAACATTATGTACAGACTTCTACATTTAGATTTGTTTTAAAATATGACAACACAGTTCTAACAAAACAGAATTTGTAGCATTATGCTTTTTGCTGATTTCCTTAAAAGTTTAGTAAAAGAAATAAAGTATTGAACACACAACATATCTTTAGCAAGAAAATGAATAATTGACGAATAAAATTAATATGTATGTACTGTCTAACTAGTCTACAAGAAACAATTTATTGTGAACCAAAGAGCTCAAAGAAATATTCAATGCTATGAAGAAACATTTTGTGTTTTCTTTATGGCCATTATAATAAATATACTGTAACAAATTCATTGTTATTCAACTAGTAACAAATTAGTAAGTTTATTAATACTTTGAAGAATGCATGCAAAAATGTCGTTAAAATTTAATGTCGAAGCATTATTACACCTTATAGAAATCGTAAAATACAATAATTATAAAAATGGCTTGATGTAAGCAATTAATATTCAAATGCTTAATATTTTTGTAATAACAAAATGCAGTTACATCAATGAAAAATTAGCTATAGCTTACAAAACTAAAAAAATATAGATTGATCTATTTTAGCTAATATATACATAATTCTAGCATTGTGTCCAAACAACATTTAAATTTGTTGCTGCTAGTGTATGAAAATAGATGATAATGTTCCCCCAAATCAACAATAATTTTCCTATAAAATTACAGAAAATAATATATGTAGTAATGGCGTCAGTTATTCTTGAAACAATCTCAATATTTTTGTTATGCCTAATATGGTAAAATATATACGATGATGTGTAATATTAATTTTGTTTTATTGACAATGAACAATATTGTTTAATTTTCTTTGTTTTTGTAGTTATAGTGCACATCGTCTTTGGAGCCACAGCACATTCACGTGTGAGTAATATTCCAGGAGCCAAGCTAGTCCGACAGCGACACTACTCCGAGAATATCCCGGACGTCAGTCAGCCTGAGCGAGATGAATGGCTCTTGACTATCTTAAGAAGCATCGAGAGAGGACGGAATTATAGCAGAGCTGTTAGCTGATTATCGAGTGAAATATATTTTTAAAATTCGTAAAATAGAATTGACTTGAAGAAAACAGTTGAAAAGAGTTTTTAAGGTTGACGATACGCGAGGGGCGAGGGGTATGCAAATGCAAAGAGTATTTATTAGAATTAGAGTTGCGTTAAAATATATCGAAATTTACACGAATTCGATAGTCTTAAATGAATATCGATATATTGTGATAAAAATATCGACGATACATATATGTCGATAATATATATATATACAATAGCGATATTTTTTTATAATCTATATTTGTTGCCCACCTAAACCAGGGCTGCCAACTTAGAGGGTTTCACCAGAAATTTAGGGGGAGAATAAACGCGTTGGGATATTTTTAGACTTCGTATATTTTTTCGTACGTTTTATTTTTTGTTATTTTTCTTAGTTAAGAAAATTATAGGTATAAAAAAAAGTAGCACAGTTTTTCATTACTAAGAATGCGGAGTTGAACTACAGAGAGTAGGCATAAAGAATGTCAACAAGTAAGTAAGACAAATACAGTGAGTAACAACAGTAGTGTAAACCGTTGGATAATGGTGAGTCAAATTGGTTGGCAACTAGATCCAAATAGAATCGCTTACCTTATTTTGGTGCAAGTGCACCCCTCGCGCGCCCGCTTAAGTCCCGCGGGGCACTTGACTCGTCACTTGCCGTCGTGTAAACAGTCAAATTAGTACATTGGCCGGCTACAGGCAATTAAATTGCACGTATTCCACGTCTATTTAGACAGTGAAATGCTATACTTCATGTAGTGCAAACAGACACTTGTCCGGTGCCCGCCACTGGCCACTGTACTTGTCCTCGCTACTCATCAATGTAAATCAGGCTAAGAAAACGCCAAAATGTAATAAAAAAAAATTATCGTTAATTATGAATCACATTTTTGGAATCACGGTAAATGGTATATTGGTCATTTGAGAAATCATAAGAGATATTTTTTATAAAATTAAATTTTTAATAATATGATGTAATTATTGGGTTTTAGGTGTTTTTGACATTAACTTTAGGGAAAAATATTTTCGAGAGTTGGTATCACTGCCCTACATTGAACAGTGAACACTCTCTTGAAAGGTTATGGCAACACTAGTATTTTATTTTATTTAAGCAGTGTTTCCACAATGAGGGGAATTTCCCCTCATTGTGGAAACACTGCTTGATTTGAGGGGAAATTAGGGTCCATAAGGGGAGAAGACATTTAAAGGGGAAATTGCGGGAAATCATGGGTAAAACCTAGCTTTAAATATTGCGGTAAATTTCGGAACTAATTTTTTATGGATTTTACCGTGAACTAGCGTGTTGCCGTATAAAAGAAACAGTGACAAAGAAAAATTGTTTTTCTCTGACTCTGGGATTCCAAGCCGAAAACTTTTTTTGGTAATGAAAACAGAATTATCAAGCTTTATTTTAAGCTAACATTTATCAAGACACAAAAATATTTGTAGTGGCCCAAGCTCCATACTGTATTCGTCATACTCCTTTTGTTGATGATTTTGTTGACGCATTTAGTGTAAATAATATTATCGTAGTCTAATATCGTCAGAGGCGTGGGTAGGCTATAGAAGAAAATCGATAAAGGACTTTTTTTTTCTTTACACTATGGCCAAAAGTAAAAATTACAGACAGCAAATTTTTGAGGGGAAAAAAGTCCTGAAATGGGAAATTTGAATTGAGGCGTGGGGAAAGGAAATCATTACAGTGGAAGCACTGATTTTTATATGTATTTATTTACTGTGTTAAGTGTTTACTGTTTTGTTAGACTAGAAAAAAAAGAGAGATTTTCAGTTTTCACTGACCTTTTCGAATACCCACACATTACCTTACCTCACCATACCAAAACAAACTATTCTAAATTTATGTCATAAATTGTGTCCGGCTATATAGTTGTTTAGCGTAAAAATTACAGTGTATTAGTAATGGATGAGCTTAGAGCTTTTTTTAACAATCCGTTTCCATCTTCTTCTCAAGTAACAAAGCTTCGAGGTCCGATTACTGGAGGTCATAGAATTACAAAGGATGATAACATAAATCAACTAAACAGACCAGAGGAGCATCGCCGGTCCGTGCTTGTTAGCGGTACAGACTATGCTCGAGAAATCAAAGAAAGGGAGACAGAAATTTACTTGAAGGTATTTTTTGATAAGTTTATCCATCCCTAAAACGTTATAATTTTAACATTTAATGAACATTGTGGAACAATTAGTATTAAAACTAGTTTTCTTTCACGAATGTTACTACTTACATTAAATTTTGAAATAAAAAATATTATTTTAAAATTTGTTTTAACATACATATTGCGCTAACGCTTCATTCTTAGTCAATCCAATGGTAAGTAATCACAGTGTCAGATACTAAAAAAATTACCTGCATAACACTTCCACATTAGTCCGGTCTTCTGAGAGTGGCCCTACCACAGTATTTAACATACATGCCTGCCAAATCTAATCACAATAATGAATTTTAGATTCAATTTGACACATTTCAACTTGCAGAGATGTGTAGTTTTTGAGATAAAAAATATTGAAGACAGAATTGCCCCGTATTTGAATGAAAACATTCAAATACGGGGCAATTCTGGCAATTCAATGGTGAATCGTTATATTATTCTGATTTGAACTTTTCCTTACACCACATTGAATAATACCACATTTAGACCTTTCTTGAAAATTATTTTATTTAATGTGGAAAACAAAAATGTTTCTTATTTTTTTAATGACATTCTATGTAATAAGCCAAAGCTGCAGAGGCGGGGATAGATGCCTGGAATTTTTTATTCAAGGGTGTAGGGGCTGCTCTGCCCGCAGCACCAGCAGATGTTGCAGTCTCAAAATAGATAGAAAAGTTCCTCTGAATCAGGAACTCTACGTTTTTCTGATAAGGGGGAACCTCCTTACCCTCTAAGGGGTGGTAATACCCCTCTTTAAACTCCTCTCGGCCGTCAATTCGACGGATGTCAATGTAGAGATACCAATCTATTTATATTTCTATAATTTCATTTCGATTGAAAAAAATAATAATAATAAATTTAATTGTTATGAATAACAAAATATTTCTATAGAATTTTTATTGTTATAGAATGAAATAGAGAGAGAAAAATGTGAAAGTATAGCTGGGGGCCTTGATTCTTTGGAGCATCTAACAACATGGGGAACATCTATGCCAAACATTGAACAACTTACAGAAGAAGCAATGACAGAAGTGTATAGTAAATATTCATTTCAGAGGAAGGAGGATACAAATAATTTGGCAATCAATGAGTATAGACAGCAGGTACTACGTCATTTCGTTAAAGTTTTAGTCTTTTTTTATTCCCTGTATACTAAACAAATAAGTAAATTGCTTTTTATTAGAATACAAAATGGAAAAGCATTTGCATGATCTACTGATCATTGTTTTGTGCATGAAATTATCATTGAGAACAACATCTTTTTGTATAGATTAATGATGTTACTTATTGCTTCAACAAGAATTTACTTTTGTTATCATTGACAGATTTTAGATCGTATCTCAGGATTCCCAGTAGTAATTATTGAGGGTCCAACAGGGTGTGGTAAAACAACACAAGTACCACAGTGGATACTGGATGATTCTTATAAAAATCGCAGGCCCTGCAAAATAGTGGTAACTCAGCCACGTAGAATAGCAGCCATATCAATTGCCAAAAGAGTGGCACAGGAACGTGGTTGGAATATTAGTGGCATAGTTGGGTATCAGGTAATTATCATTATTTTCTTAATATACAATTTAATGCCTGTTAAGTCACAGGCTCCTGTTATGTACAGTTGTTATTTATTTTGTGAGGGTCAAGTTCTTCTTGGATTAATATCATGTGACTGAATATTTATTATAATCTGATTCTGTTCAAAATAACCAACCATATATTGAATAGAATTTATTTGTATGTTTCATCAAGATGAGGATATATAATTATGGACTTCATAATATCATTATGAAATCCCTAATTAGATACGTAGTAAGCATGTAACCCCTAGTGGGTTTGCCTGTTTACTAGCTGTCACTAAATATCCTGACTGTGAGATAAGTTCACTTGATTTCAAGTTTGCACAGGATTAGCATAGAGGCGAAGAGTGGTTCAGTGTTTCTTCATACCTATCACGGTACACTGAACATCTTTGTTGCTAATCTTTAGCCGCTATTGGGTTACTTATGCTCAGGCAATAGGGTTACTGTTGTTATCTGTAGATCCTGGTACACCTTATGCACTGATGGCTGCTGAGATGTTTTGACAGCAGCCCCTTGCTTCCGCTAAGAGGGTTCTCAAAAAATTCAGTTGTGATTAAAATGACATTATACATATTTAATGTTCATTTTGTTTTAAGATCTGTCAATTAATAACTTATTATGTGTGTTTTCTATTTATTTTTGCTTTTTATTTAAATAAAACAAATTCAACAGACATGCATTATTTTGTAGGTGGCACTTGAGAGCAAAGTTACTAGTGACACTCGAATTCAATATGTTACAACGGGAGTGCTGCTCCAAAAACTAGGTAATTATAAATTTATTATAAAAACTAAATTGTTCTGTTTTGCTTCCCTTTATCGGAGAATTTGTATTGATTTCTTATTTGTATCCAGTTGCCGCCAAAAATATGAACGAGTACACGCACGTCATATTGGACGAAGTACACGAGCGTGGCCAGGAAATGGACTTCCTCCTGCTTGTAGTCAAAAGGTTGCTTTACACTGTATCGCCTCGCGTTAAAGTGGTCCTAATGTCTGCGACGTTCAACCGGAAGGCGTTCGCCGACTACTTCATGATACCGACACCCCGCGGCCTGCAGATGTCCACCTGCATCAAGGTCATGAAGAAGGAGCCAATGTTCACAGTGAAGACATTCTATCTCAACCATCTGAATAAATTCGGATCTGTAAGTCAATAATCTTAATGAATCGTCATTTGAGTTACTATATATATTAACAAATATATCATCAGTTTATACAGTGTTTAACATTTTTAAGCAGTGTTATGTTATATGCTCTTATATCTATTTGTCTTAGTGGTAATATGCTTAAATGCTTAAGTAAGTTTCAGCATAGAGGCCATTGTTGGAATATAGATTTTTTCCTTATCAAATATGTAGCATTTAAAATGCATAAAAATTAAATCTGTTGTTATTTTTTAATTTTGCGGTTCCCTACTTTTGTTACAGGTTCTTCAACAAGCAATGCGCAAATCTGAAACACCTGGCATTGTTCCAGAAATGCATCATCTAGTTGTAAAATTAATAAACGCCTTTGAGCAGATTGACAAACAGGAAGACAACTATACTGACCGCTCAGAAGCTGACTTGCCTTCTGTTCTGATATTTTTGCCGGGGATTAACGAAATAGAGGAACTCTATGGATGTTTGACCGATACTGCTTTAAGGTGAGGATAGTTAATAATGATTTGTTGTATTAAAGCTATATTTATTAATGTTACTAAGTCTAACAGTACTAATAAATTCATAGGATGGGCTGAACCAAGTCATTGGCAAAATCACCGACGTATCAGTGGAGCCATAGTAGGGAAAAAAAATAGGATGGGTGTTGAAAAAATGATGTGTGAAAAAAATAGGATAGGATCTGTCAATGGCTTAGCATATTTAGTACTATGGGTACAATATAATTTATTTTTTTACTTCATACCTCAGCGATTGTTCACAGATGATATAACATTAATTTGTTTCTCTTAGGTAGAGCCTTCGAGTCATGCAGTCAGTTTGTATACCTTCAGTTTCATACCTTTACAAATAAAACTATTCTTTTACAGGACTAAAATGGGCGGCGGTGAATGTGCTTCCTACAAGTGGTGGGTTCTGCCTCTGCACTCCACCATAACTGCTGATGAGCAGGTCAGGGTGTTCCAAAGGGCACCTGTTGGACACCGCAAGATAATATTGGCTACCAACATTGCTGAGAGTTCTATCACGGTTCCTGATATTAAGTACGGTGAGGGTCAAATTAATCCCACGCCCACCTTTGGGCTCGGTTTTTAGAGGTATAAGGGGTATATCATAATGGTGGCAACCATCCACCAATGCTTTGCAGGGTTTACCAACAGGTCTTAGCTGTTCGTTATCTTCACAAATGGCTTAGAATGTGATTTGTGGTGAAACAGTTTATAGCAGTACAGTTGTATAGTTTAATTTCCTCACAAAACATAAATACGCATGGTTATGGGTTATGGTTTTTGCTTAATCGCGCCGCAGTGCATTTTTTTGTCTCAAATGATAATTGAATGTAATTTTGCTAATATCGTTCGGTTTAGTTCAATTTTATGCAATTAGTAGGTTATTATATATATAATTATTGTGGCCACTGAAACATCAATATCCATCGACTTTTAGTCATCCTCTATAAATTATTTCTCAGAATTTATTTGTCGGAACGCCATAACTTCCATAATTCTTCAACAAATTTTATGATTCAAAGACCATGTTAAAGCCTATGATAAGCTGCTATTGACGTAAAATTGACAAGAAGAATAAAAGTTAGTTTTCGTTCAAAAACAAAAACTTTCGTTTAAAAATTTCTTTATAAAGAAAGCACGTGTTTTTTTTTGATTTAGTTTTTTAAAACATTGCCCTTACTTTAAGATAACATAATCTTGCCTTGTAAGGACGTTTTTACAAACATAAATTTTACATGGACAAACACCCAGATGCGAAACAAATGTATGAGGGTCACACAAACAGCTGGTCCCGTGTGTGAATCGAACCCACGGTACCCGACGCCGATGCCAATGCCTCGGCAACTGCGTCATTGAAAAATACTCATTCACCCGTTATTACATTACCATTCGTAGATCTTCTGGACTGGAAAGGACGAGGTATTAACATCAATGGCGAATACATCACCCACCTCCGATTTGCCGGCGATATAGTCATCATGGCAGAATCGCTGCAGGACCTTGGTACTATGCTCAATGACCTCAACAGTGTCTCCCAACGGGTGGGCCTTAAGATGAACATGGACAAGACGAAGATCATGTCCAATGTCCATGTCATGCCAATACCGGTTGTTGTTGGGAGCACTGAGCTCGAAGTTGTTGACGAGTACATTTACCTAGGACAGTTAGTCCGGCTAGGTAAGTCCAACTTCGACGCAGAGGTCAATCGACGAATCCAACTCGGATGGGCAGCGTTCGGGAAACTTCGGCAAATCTTCTCGTCGAATATACCTCAATGTTTGAAGACTAAAGTCTTCAATCAATGTGTGTTGCCAGTGATGACCTACGGAACCGAGACGTGGTCCTTCACTGCTGGCCGTATGAGGAAGCTCAAAGTCGCTCAGCGAGCTATGGAGCGGGCTATGCTCGGTATTTTTCTCTGCGTGATAGAGTTCGTAACGAAGAGATCCGCAGTAGAACCAAGGTAACCGACATAGCTCAGAGGATTAGCAAGCTGAAGTGGCGATGGGCCGGCCATATAGCTCGTAGAACCGATAACCGTTGGGGAAGAAAGGTTCTCGAGTGGCAGCCTCGTACTGGCCATCGCAGTGTAGGACGACCCCCCACTAGATGGAGTGACGACCTGTGCAAATGTGCGGGAAGTCGATGGATGCAGGTGGCTCAGGATCGTACTTCGTGGCAGTCTATGGGGGAGGCCTATGTTCAGCAGTGGACTCAAACAGGCTGAAATGATGATGATGATGATTCGTAGATCGATCACGGCACTGTACGTAAATTTGCCACATGTCAACTAGATAAAAGACAACGATTCCGTTTCTGCTCTGGTCCCAGTGGTCGACTACTGCCTGATGAAGGTGCTTGTGGCGGACGAGAACACGAACTTCACGTCGCTGCAGCTCTCTTGGGCGTCGAAGGCCAACTGCGAGCAGCGGGCGGGGCGCGCGGGGAGGGTGCGCGACGGCCGCGTCTACCGCCTCGTCACCGACAAGTTCTACGTGAGCCCTCGTTACCGTACTACCGCATGCTGACGATCAAGTTTCGGAGACCGTGTTCTTTTTATATGTGATAAGTTGCCAAGCGAGCAGACGATTCACCTGATGTTAAGTGAATACCGCCGCCCATGGACATCTGCTACACCCGAGAGCAACTCTGCGTTGATGATTATTAGATGCGTTGATATATTTTATAAATGACGGTTTTTTTTTTTTTTCATAATGTATTTTTACCTATCTTTTATTTTATTCTTTACTTAAATAAAATTGAACTCAACTAACTGTTTAATTCAATATTCCTCTTATTTAATATTGAATGTTACTCAAAACCTTATAAATCCTTTTCTCTTTTGTAGGAAAATCTGTCTGACGAATGTACACCTGAGATAATAAGATGTCCGTTGGAGAGACTGGTGCTGCTTGCTAAGATGCTGGACATGGGACCGCCTAGCGACGTACTTGCATTGGCTATGAACCCGCCGGACATGTCCAATATATATCGAACTATACTCGTTCTAAAAGAGGTGAGGAATAGGGTTCAAAATGCTTTAAATATAACAATGTTCATGTGTTAAAAAGGATGTAATGATATTGTTCTGTAACTTAGTTAACATACTTTTTTGATAAAGATATTTTTTTTAAGTTTTCTCTTTGAAGCATTTATCAAAATCAAAATCTACCATGTTACAAAAGGGCTTTAGGCTTGACATGAAACTCTCTGAAAAATAAATATTTATATTCTTTTCAGTTCCTTTTTTGTATTAACCTTAGTAATATTAATATAGTTTAGGATTAAATTTGAAACGCATGCATGTATATAGCAACAATGTTCATAATTGTTTGAAAAAATACAGTTTTTTTTTATGTTACAGTATTTATAAAGTATAATAGAAGGCGTAATTAATATTCAGGGCTTACATCGGTCACTTTCCTATAATAACGTTACTAATTACTTACTAAATTCCTCATTCATTGCTCCAGGTGGGCGCATTGAAGAAGACAGTAATGGACGAGTGGTGTGTGTCCGACGGCGACATAACTTACTTGGGTCGAATCATGGCCAAGTTGCCGCTCGACGTCAGGGTCTCGAAGCTCATCATGCTCGGCTACATCTATGGGTGTTTCGAAGAGTGCGTTATCATGGGTTTGTATGAATGTTACATACTAAATCATTCTGTCAACTTAGTGACCCATAAAACATTTTGTGATTTAGCTGAATTTTTCTTTGAGTGAATGAGTCACCTTATGTTAAGTGACTACCTCCGCCCTGGACATCTGTAACACCCGAGGGATTACAGGATAAATGTGTTGAAAACCTTTTAAAAAGTGGGCCTGGGTTATCTCACTCATCAGACGAATCGAGAAAGTATAATACTTCGAATTCACGCCGGTTATTTGTGAGGTCGTGTCTCCGGATGGACCTGCCCATTCATGCAACAGAGAAGACTGTTGCATGGCCCTAACATAGTTGAAGGTGCTAATAAGAAAAAGTTAAATAATATATATATTTTTATCCACACTTAACATTAACCAATTATCAAAACTAACTGACCAATTGTGACCATCATGTCACATAATTTTAGGTAGGATTATTTATTACAGTGAAGATTGCTTCGATGGTTGATATAAGATAGATATATAGATAGAATAGAGATGATAGATAAATAGATATTTAGAATAAACATCTCTATTCGTAGCGGCCGCGATGTCCGTGAAAAATGTGTTCAGCAGCCCGTTCCGGGAGCGACTCCACGCGTACAATTCGAAGTTAACATGGGCCGACGGATCAACCAGCGACTGCATCGCCTTCCTAAATGTATATAAGGTACGTGAATTGTGCCTCAAAATTCGTAATTAATTAATAAGAATGTTACATTAAAAAAATTTTATCAACAAAAAACACAACCTTCAAACGTTAAACATCTTACTCATTGTTTATTTCCTAGTTTCGAAGAGTTCCCTAGTATATCTTCGATGTCCAAGATCCAATGCTAATGAAATTAAAAGCCCCTTAAAAGTATCTCCTTTCCAACAAAAGAATTTCCAAAAAAAAGGAATTCTCCAATGAGGCTGCATGCTAAATAAATAAATATTTAGGACACATTTTTACACAACATTCCCAAACTCAGCAACACCTGTACTATGTAAATAACTTTTGTAAATAAATACATATTATAACATATATAAACACCCAGATACCAGAAAAACACGATCGAACCCACACCCTCTGGCGCAGGTGGCACGTACACTACACATTACGCCATTCGGGTCGTCAAAATCGTCAATAAGTAATGTAGATCGCGTTTATTCCCTCCAGGTGTGGAACCACCTGCGGCGGCTGAACTACTTCAAGCAGCAGGGCGGCGAGGCGCAGTGGGCGCGCCGCTTCTACGTGCAGGTGCGGGCGCTGCGCGAGCTGGACGACCTGGTGCGGGAGCTGAAGGCGCGGCTGTCGCGCGAGGGCCTAGAGCCCACCCCATCGCCCTGGCCCAAGCACGAGCTCAACCTGGCCCTCAAGGTGCCCCTTTCTGACATTCGCTCCGCTAACTAACGTAAGAGCCTGTGAGAGCTCGGCTTTAATTCATTAAGGTTTCCGCGCGATCATTTTATTCAATGCCGAGCGCGTGATAAGTTAGCACTTAAAGTTAACAATTTCAACTAACAACGAAAAATTAATAAACTAACAAAATTGTAATGTGTGACATAGTGGTGTAAATTTATTCATCTTACACATAAATTATACATTTCGAAAATTGTAGAACGTCCAATTAGGGTTGCCGACGATACTTTATAATAACGTATATCCTACTTTATTTTTGGCAAAATACTTTATGCTTTTGCATAAAAATTAAGTATGTGAAAATACTCTATTTCTTGACAGTTTTTCATTATCCTTAAATATTATTTTTAAGATGAAAAACTTTCAGTGTGCTAGAAAGATGCACACAACAATAAGTCTTCAAGAGAATAAATAAAAAATAAATATAAAAAATTTTGAAAAATCCTTTTTTTCCCTACTTGATAAATGTGATACGTTATTTTTCTCAAAAACAGTTGGCAACCCTACCTCCAATTGATGTTACAAGACGCGTACTGCAGGTGATCGCGGCGGGCGCGTTCTACCCGCAGTACTTCGTGCAGGCGTCGCTGGACGAGGGGCGCGAGCGGGAGGCGGTGCGCTCGCTGGGCGGGCTCGACCCGCGCCGCTCGGTGTACGTGCGCGGGCTGCCGCCGCACCAGCCGGCCGCGCCCTACGCCGCCTCCGTGCGCGCCGCCGTGCGACGCATGCTGGGCGACGAGCCCACCGTCACCGTCGACGCCAACAGCCGGTAAACGGCCCGCCCTTCACGATTTGCTCAGGGCCCTTCTATTTGGTTGGGGACGGTAGGGGTGCAGCTCTCTCCGTGTCGGTAACCGGCCAGCTCTTGACCTGCTCAGGCCTCCTCTACTTCTTTGAGAGCGGTAGAGGTGCAGCCACTAGGGGGAGTCACTGCAAACGACGTGGAGTCGCGGAGGAAAAGGAGTGCTGGCATTGCGTTTGGCTACTCTATCCTCCGTGACGTTTGATCCAGCGGTGGTTGGTCCGCCGGGGATAGGCTTCCCTACCCTCTGCGGCTGGGATGTGGTGAGTGGCGTTGCCACAGAACAGGTCCGCCGCTAGGAGCTGGGAGGCTTAATACTTATTTAGCATCGGCTCTCTTGGCTCCCATGGCCTGTATTCAGTGATGTCGGGGGTATTTGTTGTCCATGCAAAAGATGAGAAGCATGGCGCGCTGAATTTTTCAACGTGTCGTACCTTGAGAAGAGGGGAATTAAACCCCGAAGAGGGGTTGCTGGTAAGCGTTAGCATTTCCCAATAATCTAATAAATACAATTCCCGAAATGTAATGTTATTTTAGAAAAATGCTAATAAGTATTGAATAAGAGTTATTAAGTACAAATATTCTTCTTTCAGAAAAATATACCTGACATTTTCCGACGGGAGCGACACCGCGAATGCTAACAAAGAGAAAACCGGAGTAAGCATCAATGTTCATGCGATTTTAACCCAGTTATAATTAACGCCAAACATAAATACGATATGTATCTTTGTTTTAAAGGATCCAACTATACCCGGCCAAGTGGTGTTACCAGTTTACAAGGCAATTAAAGCTCGCCAGCTCAAGATGGACATCCGCATTCCTTTATTACCGTAAGTAAATTAGACTTTTATTAACTCTATTTTAATTTGATATGTAATTTAGAATTTTTATCTTAACTTTTGTGTCAATGTAACAACAACTATTATATATCAATTGCACAAAAGATTATATCTTATCATTGTTGTAGAAAAATAAAATTATTCATACAAACATTTTCAGAATAGAGAAAGCAAACGAGTTAGCGGCTGCTTTAGAACTTAGCAATGTTAACATCGACATAGAGAAAATGGTACCGCGCTTACCTGAAGTCGACGACACCCACTTTCCGATAAAGATATCGCAAGTAAGTTACAAAGTCTATAATGCTTAAGCAAGTTTTTAAGCTTTTTGATAGTATTATTTTTTTTGATAGTACACTTTATTAAAATGTTTGAAAGGAATCTAAATTTTTTACCATATCGCATATGGTAAAACCAAGTGTGTGTTTAAAAGTGTATCGTCTTGAAAAAAAAAATCCTTCAGTAATGTTGTACACCAAACAAACTTTATTTACTTTCTTTATTCTTTCTTTATTCTTTATTCTTTATTGTACACAGAGTATAAGTTAAAACAAAGTTACAAAAAAAAATGTACAAAGGCGAGCTTAACCCTAAAAAGAGTTTTCTTCCAGCAAACCCTGACATAAGATTGATGAGAAACAAATCATTATATTATGATAGGTAGGTGTGTAAAACTAGATATACTTATACTCTAAACTCAAAATATATAAAGAAGAGAAACTTGGGGAAAGTAAGCGTTTAAATTTTTACGTGATGCTGTCTTTGTTTCCGCCCAAATGTAATGTGGGTTTCAAGGTAACAGTGAATAATTATGCCTTTACTGAACTAGACAGTGAGAATGCAATGACAAAATCTTAATATGTAAAATTCTCATGTCACGGTGTTTGCAATTGAACTCCTCCGAAACGGCTCGACCGATTTTCGTGAAATTTTGTGTGCATATCGGCCAGGGTGTAGAATTGGACAACATCTATTTTTCATATCCCTAAACGTTAAGGGTGGTCCACCCCAAACATTTGTTAATTTCTATGGATGGCAAAATAACGTTTGCTGGGTCAGCTAGTTTCATATATAAAAAGAAACAGAGCCGTCAAACTAAATCTAGAATCTCGTGGGTGAATAAGTGTATGTAAATTCTACCGTCCGCAGATGATGTCGGTGAGCAAGTTCTGGGCGCAATACGACGACGAGTCGACCGCGAACGAGCTGTGGCAGGTGCATGAGGCGCTCAACCGCGGCCCGCTGCTGGCCAGCGCGGGCGGCGAGCGGGCCGGCGTGCTGCGGGCCGCGCCGCGTGTCGACACCACTGGCACCGCCTACTGCAGGGCGCAAGTGCTGGCCATGCTGCCCCTGGACATGCTCGAGGTACTTTTTTTGTTTTTTAGGGTTCCGTAACCAAAGGGTAAATTGGGACGCTATTACTGAGACTCCGCAGTCTGTCTGTCTGTCCGTCTGTCACCAGGCTGTATCTCTAAACCGTGATAGATAGACAGTTGAACTCTTCACTGATTATGTATTTCTGTTGCCGCTGTAACAATAAATACTAAAAAACAGAATAAAAAAATATTGAAGTGGTGCTCCCATACAACAGACATGATTTCTTTTGCCGTTTTTTTTATAGATAACGTTACGAAATCCTTCGTTCGCGAGTCCGACTAGCACTTACCCGTTTTTTATGTGAAAAGTCGATTACCGTCACTCATTGACATCTACAGCACCAAAGGATTAGCAGCCTTTAGAATGTGGACTCCAGTTACCTAAGTGTCAGCGTATACTAGCGCCATCTATGGCGTCACCGGGACAACACGGACAATCGCGTGTGACGGTGGCGCATTCGAGCCGACGTCAGAGAGAAGAGAGGGTGCGAGGGTGCAACATTCATTCCAATTCTACGCTTTGTGACAAAAATACAAATTAATAAATATAATATTCGAAATTAAAGTCGCCTGAGTTTTTTAACCTGTCTTCGAAATGGTATACATCTACAGCCGAAGCCGTAATACTAACTAAGTCATCGGAGGGAACGCAAGAGTATTTTTTCACTTTATGCCGGTCTTCTATGATGTCGTGGTCCGTGAAGGAGTTTAGTATCTGCTGCGCTGTTAGCTGTGCTGCGTGGTACTTACCACAAAAAGTTATCTCGTTTCAAAATCATGAATACTTCTTGTTTTTTCTCGGTCTCCTCTACTTACTTACTTACTCCTAAGAGGCTCACTATCCACTACGTCAAACGGGTCATTTATAGATGAAAACTCCATAAAAATAAAGATAATAAAAAAAGCGTATACGTTGGCCAGGTGCTGTACATCGACTACGGCATCTGCGGGCGCACGAGCGTGTGCAGCGTGCGCGAGCTGCCCGCCGGCATCTGCACGGAGCTACCTCCGCTGGCCATGCAGTGCGCGCTGGCTGGAGTCGCGCCCGCGCCGCTGCTGCACGACCACGCACAGTGGACCCCCGGCGCCCAGCAGCTCTTCTCAGCGCTCGTCGCCAAGGGCCACCTGCTCGGCAAGGTGAGACCATTTTGAAGTCATCGAAGTTACACCTCTTTTGGCGCGCTTGGAACATGTTATGAGAGTAATGTTCTCACTATGCGCGTGTACGCCGACAGCCTAAAAGCGACACTATGAAGTTGGTTACAAAGCGAAAAACTTTGGCATCTATCTATAAATTCAAGTAATTTAATTAATTTATCAATTGTGCACGTCCTGTGTTTTGTCAGAAGATGCCAAGCCAGCTGGCGGTTGACCTCATGCTTAGTGACCGTAGACGCGATGCAGATGCGTTGCCGCCTTTTAATAAAGAAACGTAGAAATATAACACTTCAAATCAAAAATATAACATAAAGTAAGCCATTCTAAATTAAATTTAGAAAGTATTAGAAGTAAATTTTTGATTATTCCACACCAACTGTGATATAAACAGGTCTATTCGGTGGTGCGCGGTGTGGTCTCAGTAGAACTGCTGGTGGATGGTGGACGTATAAGCATCAACAAGGAGCTAATTGAGAAGGGATACGCGATCCCTTGCGAGGAAAGCTATGAGTCAAAGGTAAAGTATAACGAACGTAATGAGTTATGACTTCGGTTTCTCAGTTACTTTAAATATTGATAGCACTACTTTTCAAATGGTAATCGTAAAAAATTCCTTTGAGAAAATGTGTTTGCTATAAAACAAGCAAATTGGCTAGCGCCAAGCTTTGCCAAGAATGTACTAAAAAAAAAAGAAATGCGTGAGTGTCGAGATTATTTTTCATTAGCAACAATAGAAAAAAAAATATTTTCGCCTATCCGCCAAGTCCGTACCGTGAGATAATGAACTTTGTTTCAAAAGTAAATTAATTAGATAAGATTGAGATTTCCGCGCGATAATGATATCGGCCGCTTAGCTCACTAGTCAGAGACTCTAGAGTCGGAGTATATATTCATATGCAATACTAGCAATAAAAATAAAAAATAAATATGTGCTTTCAGTTGAATCACGACCTCAGACAGATGGCGGCCGATTTGAACATGTCTCAGAAACGCGCCTACAACAAGGAGCAGGCCGAGGCGGCGTTCTTCCAGATGCAAGAGATCGAGCCGCCAAACTATAAAGAGTGCGACTCCGATGTATGTCTGAAAGGACCAAACAGGTGAGCTTTGTTTCAACCTTCCTATTTGTATTAAAACTTTTAGTAGATGTTTCGGCGCTGCGGGATTCGAAACTGCGTCTTCTGGTTTCAGCGCCAGACGCTTTATCAAGTAAGCTAAGCGGGAGAGTAAGATAAGTATGAAAAATTAAAATGAATAAAAAATAATTCAACAAATATCCATAGGGTTCTAATACATACTCCCATTAATAAAAGTTAATTATGTAATGCAATCAAAAACCTTTGAAAAAAGATTTGAGTTTTAATTTTTGTTTTTAGTAATTGTCTATTCACTCAAGATGAGACTTTAAATGGCGCATTGCCGATAGTTTATGCTCGTTTATCTACAAGAATTTTACAATTCAATACTTATAAGATTTAATTTTAATTCATATAATTTAAAAAGTAGTTCAATAATATTGAAATAGTTTATGATGGTCAATATTTCCCTTGAAATATGTTAATATTTTCAGCCCATTGGAGACGGTGGTGCATAATATTATGTACAGCAGCCGCGAGAAGCAAGTCCATATCGAATGGAATTCCGTAAATTCCGTATTAATCGATACCGAGCCGCAGGAGTTGTATGAAAGGTATATAGATCACTTTTTAAACAATAAAATCGAAAAACAAAACGAGCAAGGTGTTGCGAATGTGATGCCAACCAACCTATTTTCTTATCGTTGTAAATGAGTTACATAAATCTGGAAACAAAAATAAAATAGAAAATATTTGCTCCAGTGAAAACCGAATATTAGTTTTCTATCAGGTAAGATAAAAGTGAAGCATTTTTATGTTCGTGACTAATGAAATAACTTAGTTTTTTTTTCTACATACTCATATAGCCAGCCTTTATGAGGTAGGTAGTGATCTAGCCTAGCGTTTGATTTTGCCTAGGATAAGAATGACATATTATGTAAAAAAATAAGTTCCTACCTCATATTTTAAGTGGTGTTGCTTTCTTTTTTATTTTATTTCAATAGATAAATAGATAGCATTACATATTGTAATAAAAATTAAAAACATGTTGGAGGTTATTGATGACACTAAACTTGAAATAACAGCAAATTAAATATGTTTATATGCAGGTTGTTGGTGGCAGCTGAGGTGGGTCAAAACGAAGCTTCCAGCACCCTCACATTGCGACATACCACATTGATGCCGAACATACCCGGGCTGCCCGCCATCATAGCCCTGCTCTTCTGTCCAGTGTGAGTTGTTTAATCCTTTTTAACACAGTTATATTAGTTTTACCTGTATGTATGTATGTATTTAACGGAATCTTGTGATTTTGACCCACTTTGAACGATCAGATTTGAATCAAACTTTGCACAATCGTCAGAGACAATACAATAATTTAAATAGTTTTCCCTTTATCCTGATTAAGACCTTCAGGATTAGCTATTTTTCAAACTCGATACCAATTAGTGCCCTTGTGTCAAGTACGCATTTAAAAAAAAAACAAAAAAAAACGCCTTTATCAGAGTTCTAACGTATGATTTATAAATAACGCAATATCGTGGATTATTTAGGAACCTTGCGCTGGAAGCATTAGAGGCTGTGATTTTTCTAAAAGTTTATTACATAAAGTATGCAAATATAAAGCTATGGTATGCTTTCTCCTTTATCTTTACATAAAGCTTAAAGTACCTTACATACTAATACCAATATCTCCTTGAATCTCAATAATATGTGTCTTTCATGTATGACATATGTTATAAACGTTTTTTTAATGTTCTCACAAACACTTCAATCGCAAATGTGCCAATTGGCATAGTTTGTGTTGTATAAATAGAAAGTAAAGAAAAGTAAAGTATCAGCCTATACATGTCCCACTGCTGGGCAAAGGCCTCCTCTATATAGAGGGTATCAGGGCATAGTCCACCACGCGGCCCCTCTGCGGATTGGTGGACCTCACATATCTTCGAAATATTTTTTTTGTTATTAAATATTTCGAAAATATGCAGGTTTCCTCACGATGTTTTCCTTCACCGCGGAGCACGTGATAAGTCAGCACTTAAAGTTAAAAACTTCATTGGTGCCGGCACCGGGGAGCGAACTCAGGTTGCTCGAGTAAATTGAATTAAAGGCGAGCGCCCGGACACTGAGCTATCACGGCTCATAATAGTAAAAGTAATAGGAAAAGTATAAGTAATGTATACATAGTGAAAGTAGTTAGCAACGAATTCATCTGTTTATTAATGTCATTATTGTTGTCAACACGAACCCTGTGTTGCTTGTTTATTTTTGAATGAAGGATTTCTCTTATACAGCGTGTCGTTACAATCTCGTCGCGGTCGCGACAATAAATGAACGCACGTCTAAAGCTACTTGCCAATAATCATAAAAAAATATTAACGTTAAACAAAATCCATAATTAAAAAAAATATTTATCAAACAAAGTGATACAGTAAAAAAGAAACAAAATTTGTAACATCCTATACAACTCGCGTCACAGCGTCGTATTACAAGCCTCTCCTTCTAACAGTATGTTTTGTCTCTTTTAAATTCATCGAACCCATTCATATCCTTTGTGACCTTTACAAATGAAGTTTACGTTACGCTTTTATAGGTAAGGGTGTTCTAAAATTCTTTGTTTTGGAAAATTTAATAACTCTGTAAATATTGATGTTTAAAGAATTTAAATGTTTAATACAACTTTAAAAAGTTATCCCCTATATGCGTGTTCATTTATTGTCGCGATGGTAACGACACGCTGTATATTTGTCATTTTTTTTATAATTCCAAAAATGGATAGCACTGGCTGTCTATCTGTAATGTCGTGAAACAGCCCGGGCTTTTTTTTATTTCTATAAAAATGGACAGCACTAGTTAACTGTCTGCATAGTGTTATGCAGCTGAGCGGGTCTTGTTCAGTTCCAAAAATGGACACTGGCCGTGGCTGGCTGTCTATCCGTAGTGTTGTGCAGCAGAGCGCGTCTTTTATTAATTCCAAAAATGGACAGCATTAGCTGTCTATCCGTAGTATTTAACACAGCAGAAAGCGGATCTTTTTCAATTCCTAAAATGGACAGCACTATCTGTCTATTCCGTAGCGGGTCTTTTTTCAGCACCGAAAATGGACAGCACTTAACTGTGGCTGTTGCACGAATGCGCAGTCTCGTCGGGGTAAGTACCACGACCTCACAGAAGACCGACGTAAGGTGGAAGTATAATAAATACTTTCGCGTTTCGTCTGGTGAGTGAGTCAGGTTTCGTCGTCAGTAGCCGGAGCCCAACCTTCAAAAGGTTGTCAACACATCTGCAATCCTCGGGTGTAGTCTGCTACACCCGAGGATTGCAGATTGAGATTGTGTCCATGGGCGGTGGTATTCACTGGGCTGTGTGGCTCACTTGGCAACTTTTCACATAAAAAAGCACTGTCTCTCTATTCCGTGGCAGGACTTTTTTAGTTTCAAAACTGGACAGCACTAGTTGTCTATAACATCAGGTGAACCGCCTGCTCGCTTGGCAACTTTTCACATAGAAAAAAGCACTATCTGTCTATTCCGTGGCAGGTCTTGTTCAGCACCAAAATTGGCCAGCACCAGTTGGCCGTCCAGTGTCCGCAGCGCTGTGCAGCTGATCGGGCGTTTGTCCGCAGGGCGGAGCTGCGCCGCGACTCGTGCGGCAGCCGCTACGTGAGCGCGCTGTGCGGCCTGGGCAGCGGCGAGGACGGCACGCCCTACTTCCCAGAGCACGACATCCTGGTCAACGTGGACGCGGACCTGGGCGTGGAGGACATCGGCCTGGTGAGCGAATGCGAAGCTATGTGACGAACGGCCGTTGGTTACATAGCTTCGTAACTTAATAACGACTTGCAGATGAGAGGCGTGTACGTATGCCCGGTTCCTTTATTACAAAACGAGGCGTTTCCTCACGAGCCGTTGCATTACCCACGGAAAGTGAGAGCGTTCCTTTTGTCTACAAGTCGTTATTAAGTTACGAAGCTACGTGACCGCAGTGAGAAGGTTAGGTGGATACCTAACCTTCTCACTGCGACTATTCTTATGAGCCCAAACTCAATATATCTGCTGTAAGTTTCTGAGAAATCGTAACCTCTTATAAACAGAAAAAAACCGCATCATAATCGGTCCGTTTATACAGACTCAAAGATACGCAAACAGACAAGTAACTTATACCACCCCTTTTTTACGTCTTGGGATAAAAATAGTAGTAACATTTGGGACCCAAGACCGCTACGTTAGGCGCCTCCGCTAAAGTAATAGTGACTTGCAGGAACCTTGTTTTACTTTTCTGGTGATGGAAAACCATCTTCTTAAATGTTTGCAACGCATATGAAACTTCTGTGGTGTGGCAGTTGTCTATGAGTGGTGATCAATTTCCATTAGATAATCAGTTTGTTCATTGAGGTACAGATAGTTCATATACATTTCATATTAACGTTGCCGATTCATTAAATCATTCAAATCATTTTGGTAGAAAATAGACTAGTTAGTAACTAGTCTATTTTCAGTGATTTTTTTTAAACTTATTGAATTTTTATCCTGTTTGTTTTAAATAAACTCGTCTTCAGCCATTGTTCACTGCGCTGCGCAGATCAACCACATCAGGCATCTGATGGACTACATGATGTACTGCAGCGACGGACAGGACGCGCCGACGGCCGACGACGAGTTCCACCCCAAAGTGCCGAAGTTCATACGCGAGGACCTCATGAAGTGAGTTGCACGACCCCAGCATCAATGACGTTTAATAATGTCCATGCTTTTAATAACGCATGTCCATACTGCGCGACGTTTATAAACGATTCCGCTTAATTTAATTATATGACATATACAGCGTGTCTTTACCACCGCGACAATAAATGAACACACGTCTAACGCTACTTGCCAATAATCATAAAAAAATATTAACGTTAAACAAAATCCATAATTAAAAAAAAAATATTTTTCAAACAAACTAATTAAGTAAAAAAGAAATAAAATTTGTAACATCCTATACAACTGCATCTGACTGATTCCTACATTCAGAGACTTTTTCATTCGTTGCCACAGCGCCGCAATACAAGCTTCTCCTTCTAACAGTATGTTTTGTCTCTTTTAAATTCATTCAACCCATACTTTGTGACCTTTACAAATGGGCGAAAAAATAAATAAAAGGTGGTGGAAAAAATAATAAAAGGTGGAATTTCGTAAAATTCCACGGATTTTACGAAATTCCACCCACGAGTTATTTATATGGCAAAACAACGTTTGCTGGGTCAGCTAGTACATTGAAAAAACCCCCCTGGTTTTTTTCAATGTATCCTTTTTTTTAAATTCTAGACAAATAAGCTCGCAAGTAATTAATTACATTCATTTCAACTTATCTCAAAAAGTGCGTGATTTATGCGCAACTCATTTATTTTACGCGCGTTCATTCATAATTAACACGCGCACGAGTTCGTTTGTGTGCGTGAACAGTAAAATTTAGGTATTTATGAGTGACTTAGTGACAAGTTTTGTTTTTTTATTATTTGAAAAACGTTTATTATTATTTCAATAAACGGTTATACCGCCGAGCGTGAACCTCCTGTGTTAAATTTGGGCACCTTTAGAAAAGCCTCCCTGTATGCATACGCGTGACGCGATCGGCGCAGGCTGCTGCGCAAGCGGCGCAAGCACCGCGCGCCGCAGTGCGTGGCGGACGCGTGGCTGTGGCGGTCGGCGGACGAGAGCGAGCTGCTCGAGATCAGCGCGCCCGAGATGGAGCGGCGCGCCGTCGTCTACCCGCTGCACGCGCCGCTCGAGCTGCACGCGCCGCCGCGCGACCGCCTGCTGCAGCTCAAGCGGGACAACGACGCGCTCGTCGCGCTCGTCGCCAGGTGACGACCGCCAAAGGCCTCCTTGGGCTCATGGCGAACGAGCTGGCGGCTCACCCGATGCCAAGTGACAGCTGGCCCATGGACATCGCCCCCGCTGAATCACTCACCAGACGAATGGCAGAAGTTTAACTTCACGCCGATCTTCTGTGAGGTCGTGGTACTTACCCGGACGGACCCGCCCACAACCGTTCGTACAACAGCGTGAACACTGCGGCCCTACCACGATTAAACTTCCCGACTAGTAAAGTAACAGCCTAGATATATTCCACTGTTGAAAAATGCCTCCTCTGCCGATTGACGGATTTAAATATAAATATTTTTAGGACACACTTTTACCAACGTTCTCTAGTCCCTAACTAAGCAACGCTTGTACTATGAGTACTATATAATAAACGTACTTAAACATACTTTTCTTTTGTAAATAAATACATATATAAACATCCAGATACTAGAAAAACGCTATGTTCATTACATAATATTTTTTCAGGGTATCGAACCCACGCCCTGGCGCGGAAGGCAGGTACACTAGCCACTACGCCATTCGGGTCGTCATATATCTTATATCTTCGAAATATTTCTTTTGTTATCCCCCACCTTCCTGAGTACGTGGTAAGTCAGCACTTATTAACAAGTTCATTGTTGCCGGCACGGGGGATCGAACTCGGTTTGCTCGAGTGTATTGAATTAAAAGCGAGCGTCCCCGGACAATGAGCTATATAACGGCTTGACGGCTTTATATTCCTGACTGCGCTGTGACAATACTATACCGTAGCCAGAAGTTTCCCTACGGGCTACAGCGCTGTTATATTTTGACCTGCCATTAAGTGCACGCCTTTTCGATTTGTATGTAAATTTTAAATGTGATGTTATTTCCGAAAACAGGACATCGATATCATCGAGCCAGGAGTTGACGTGCAAGCTATGCAACACTTCACCGATGCCGACGCACGCAATGCGCATACATCTCTACTCGAACGCTCACAAAGAGAAGGAGGATGACCTGTGCTCCGTACAATCATGAGACACTTCAAATAATGTAATTACAATCTAGAATGTCAGTAATCATTCTAGATTGTACTTTGCCATCTCTCCTTTCGAGGATTGTATATTATTGCATTGATTGTTGCATAGCTTCAATAATTGTCGTTTCCTTTTTTTCCCTCGAAAGATTTTCTCAACCTTACTTTATGGTAATCAAAGAAGACTGTTTCTTTTTTTTCCCACACATAAAACTAAAAATTTAATTTAAAGAAACAAATATGTGATATTACAATTTAGTATCTCGACCGACTGTTAATGTTTTTATTGTTTTTTCTGTAGTTTTTTTTTACTTATAAATAAGTAAGGGTTTAATTGTAAAGTTTATTCTTAGTTATAAGTTCAGCTACTAAAATGACCAATGTTTAGGTATGTCATTCTTCAGTCTTCTTAGACACGTCTAAAGAACTGTATATTTCGTAGTCCTTAAGATATACATGACTTACCTCCCGCATGTGAAAAGTTAGTTAAGGTGAAATAATTATTTTTTTAAAACGATCAGATGATACAAACTAAATTAAAGCTCAATATTTTACTGCTACTTCGCCGCAAAAATCATTTAAGTTTGTCATTTATGTCTTAAAAATTTGCCTACCATTATAGTTAAAGTATTTTGTTACTTAATGGTTTTATAGACGATTTAAACAATTCATCCAGATTATCAATTGATAATGTTCTACATTTTGTACTATTCATTGAAATACTTTGATTGACTGTTTCTAAATATTTTTGTCATGTAACCTCAGAATTGATATCAATGTGTTATTGACTCGTATTAAAATCTATTTTTCCATTTCCATTTCGTTCTTGTCTTTTGTTGTTTTGAGCAACAAAATACTATATGCGACTTTGACACAGATTATGTCAAATGCACCTACTTCCGTAGGCCAATTTATACAGGTAAAGTAAATAAGTTGTGATTATTATATCTATGTCAAATTATATGACGTTAGTTAAAGACTACCCAATAAAAATATGTAATTAAAAGTTTGTATGTTTTACTCACAAAATTTTAATGACGCATATTATGTACTCTTTCAAAAGAATTGCTTTTTACTCTTTTGTATTTCCCTTTAAAAAAACAAAGTTACATTTTCTGAACTTCCGTACAAAGGTAAAAAAAAAGATAAACATCAGATTCTGCCACTTTCATGCTTTTAGCTACTTTAAGCTATGAAAATACAAAACTATTATTTCATTAGACATTCAAATCTGGAACTGAGAATGCGGGTTTTGGGTTCAAATAAAAAAAAATAATTGAACAAATAAGCAATTGTAATTGTATGATACATGTAATTGTAACTTCATAATTAATGCGTAATTAAGTTAAAAAAAAAAACGAAAAAAAAGCCGAGCGCGAAGGGTAGCCATGTTATAGGCTAGCCAAAGGAGACTGGAGAATGGAGAAATCATCGGAAGAGTATGACGATCTCCCATTCACCGGAGATTGACTATCCAGGAGATTGCTAAAACCGAAGGCATCTCGTGTGAACAAACTTTAAACATCATAGTCCATTAATGTAGATTGTTATTTAGTAGCTCCTTATTTCTCGCAACCTTTTGGAGGTGTCTGAAGCGTCTTCGTTGACGATTTATGTCAGCTTGCAAGATCCTGCTGCTGAGCTTGCAAGATCCTGAATCTCTTACAATCATACTGCGCTAGGAGACAAAGGCACCGGGCCGTCAGAAACAGACGTGCCGTCCCATCTGACCTGTAATGTCTTTGGCTTATGTAATAGGATGGTATCTCTGCCTGTCCGAAAAGATGACTAAAGCGTACATGGAGTTATGGGCGATGGGGTTGGGGCCTAGTCGCCTATTTAATGAACCTGAATAGCAGCGAAATGAAGATAATACCATAATGAATTAATTATGGTTGATTACAGAGTGGCACCGGTTGTTCCGTAGATAATCCCGGAGCCTCTTCTAATGAACTGAGGGTAAAATAAAACCCCTTCGTTGGCAGAAGGGGATTTATAAGGTAAGAACCGCACATAACCCCGTATCTCCTCTAACAGACGGTATGTTTTTAAGATTATATTAGGGGGACGGGGAACCCCGATATAAGTAAAGACAAACTTAACTATTCTGCCTGCGCTTCTAAAATTTGTTTTGTCCCTCAGGTAAATATTTGTTTTATCTGAATATACGGCACCAATATAGAGTATCCAGAAAAGTATTTTTTTATGTGAGAGGGCGGCAAACGAGCTGTTGGTTCACCTGATGTTATGTGATAATCGCCGCCCATGAACATTTGAACCACCCGTAGGTTTGCAAATGCGTTCCACCTTTAAATAAAGTGGGCCCCGGCTACCTCACTCACCAGACGAAACGCAGAAGTGTAACACGCCGGTATTCTGTGAGGTCGTGGTACTTATCCGGACGGACCTGCCCATTCGTTCAACAGTGTTGCGTGGCCCTACCACCGTAGAACCGTATGAAGCAAATATTGGTATTCATTTTAAACGGGATAGTTAAAAACAATGTCCTAAGATAGGTGAGTAATGCGTAATTACTTAGGAAACCCATGAAAAGTGATTTTCTAAGTGCTTTCAGGTGCCAGTGAAAAGTGATCCAGTACAAGATTTTAATTATCATTAAGGGCTTTCCTTTGATATCAGCTGTCCGCCATTATTGTAGTTGATTCTGTGAAATACACTAAAAATTTCCATAAAAATGACCTAAATGAACACCGTATTAAATTACACATTGCTCTACATATTGAAACAAATAACTTCTTCCGATAATTCTGTATCTATATGTTGGTTGTTGTTTTTATAGTGTTATACATCATTTATGTGATGTGAAAGTGTTTTCCTAAGTGCGTCCAAAATTTTCGCTATATTCTGTAAGGCTCGAACCAACTCGAGCGTCGTTATAGGCTTAATTATAAGATCACGGTATAATATATAAAAAACCTAATTAGCCATGATAGCTCAAAAAGCCTTTAATAATTCGATATACTCGAGCAACCTGAGTTCGATCCCCGGTGGCGGCATCAATGAAATTTTTAATTTCAAGTGCTGACTTATCATGTGCTCAGCGGTGAAGAAAAACGTCGTGAGGAAACCTGCATATGGTCGAAATATTTAATAACAAAAAAAAAATTTTCGAAGATATGTGAAGTCCGCCAATCCGCAGTGGGGCCGCGTGGTGTACTACGCCCTGATACCCTCTGTACAGAGGAGACCTTTGCCCAGATGTGGGACATGTACAGGCTGCTACTTTTACTAATTAGCGGTGCCACTAGCACTATGATTCTCATGTTGAGCTGACCGAATCTAGAACGGATAAGATCAGGGGGATGATGATGATAATTCTAGTTGTTTCGTCCAAAATAATAAGTTGATTGAAAGATAACAATTTCTAACCCAATTTCGACGACATTTGACAATAATGAATTGTATTATATTGCTTTGTGAAATTTTCAAGATAAAGTTGACTTTTATTTGAAATCACAATGGATTTATTTCTAACAACTATTTAACACTTCAGGAATTTAAATATACGTTCATTAAAGCAAAAAGGACATTCCTTTGCCAGGTACCATTTTGTTTGCTACCTGGCTTGTTGATTTAACAAAAAAATTACTTAAGACAAAAAATCGTATTGAATACTATTCTCTGTATTGAGTGACGGTGCAGAAAACAAATCCGGAATACTATTAACAGATTTGTGGGTGTCGATATGAAATAAACATTTAGAAGTATTTTTCCAAAAGTGTAACATGTTTAATGTGCATTTGAGCGTTCATTATCAACGATGGTTTGACATAACTTAAAATAGACTTGGTTAAGTTGTCTGACCACTTTACGCCGTAGCTGAGTTGACCATCTCAGTTGCGTGCCGTTAGTAAGCTAATGACGTCCCATGGTCAAAGTCACCGCAAGAAACGTGTAGATAGAATAATGTTTTGAATTGTTAAGAGTCAGCCGTTGCCGACAAAATGTTAAATCCGCAACAAACTATGGAGAATATATTAGAGTGAGTATTTATTCGAAATTCTTTAATCGTGTATACAAATATATTATTGTAAAATTTTAAGTACTTACATACTCGTCGAAACAATAATGCGATAGTTATTATGCCAAATGAAGTTCCCGAAGATTCCTTATGCATGTTTTTTTTTAATGAATGGATTTATTTCTCAGTTCATATAAATTCTTATTTTCCTAGAATTAGTCTAAGCTTGCATTAGTCTAAATCTATTTAAAAAGGTATTTTTGATAGAAGAACGAGTTATAATTATAGTCCACTCGTCTGATTTCTATGATGAAAACATTTTTTTTTTTCACATTATGAGCTCGAGGAACCTTATGTTGGGATTCAAAAAATGACATCGATGGCATTATCACGTTTTCGCATTGTACGGTGATGAAATTCTCAATTTATACCAACTACAATTCAATTAATACCAACAATTCTTTTAATAAAGGCAGATCTGGCAAAGTTAACGTTAACCCGACATGTTCCAACTAAAAATTTTTGAAGTGTTTGTTGTATCATTTGTGCAAGGGGTTAAATATAACGATTGACTTTTGCGACTTTTACATAGTAAAAAACATAATGCCCATGAATTTCTGAAAGCATGAGATCTTACAACAACAATCAAAATTGCCTGTTCTAAGGTTCTAAGATCTTGAAAGGCGAAAAAGCATGAATTGCAATTCCGTTTTAAAAGATGTGTAATTCTTGTGGTGTAGAAAAAAAATTGTGTGATGGTTTACGTCTGTGGAAGAGCTGTTTATCGCGAATGTGTTAATAAGAATTCGTACGAATATTTGTCGGCGTCTATGTTTTATCATGAACAGTCAACTTATTCCATTTTACTAATTAATTGTCATTCAATAAGACGGAATTAAGACTTCTTTTAGTTTGGGCAAACAATCGACCAATTAATGCGATAGTTTATTTTTAATTGAATTTCAATGTGAAGTTATAGAACTAAGTCCACTCATTATCTTAAACTTACCTCCAAAA